AAATAAACTACGTTGTATGTATATTCAAGAGACTGAACAAGTTGACAAATCGTTTTCACTCACTATAGATGCTTTTTGTTTGTAATTCTTCATACTTTCCTTAAAACAGATTTCTAATATTTTTGCGAATAATGAATACATTTTACTCTCACATTAATTTTATCACAATTACTATGCGGCTTTTTTGTTGACTTTGTGATGGTGATATTTATATGGTCATATAATAATATGCTTATTACATGAATGTGCACATTTTAATTGACATTTGTTGTAAAGAGTCAGACGTCGACATAACTACGCGCCACTCATTACGACAAGGGGGAAGTTGAACGAGCCGAAACAAAAGATCTCACGCCCTCATGGGGGTCGTATGCCCCATGTGGAAAATAAAATGGGTGCACCACGTGTTAACGTCTATAGCAACTATTTCTATTTACAGACGGATATAAATACTTTTTTTTTAACAGTTACGAACTTATTTCTTAAACACTATGAACATGTCTAAACATTTGTACTTTAAATCCATGCGTGCAATTTTATATCTATATTAATATTATAGAAATATAAATAATCTACATTCAAATAAACTTAATAAAACTTTTGAATATTCGCAATTTTATTCTATCATTCATTCGAAACGCAGACTCATCACAAGAAGAACGAGCAAGAAATTTGCGTGTTGCTCTTTTAAATAAATATATAATATAAACAGGTATACTTTGTAAGTTTCGTTGGTCGGGGTAATTTCCGATATTACTAATTAGATATTGAAAATATATAAACTGTCGCTTACATCAATCACGCTACGACCAATAGGAAAGGAGTAGCAACAACTGGGAAAATGTCTAGCAGACAGTTGCTCGGGTCAGTGTATTATAAATGAGAAAGTGTGTAACTATTTGTTACCGTTTCATGACTAAATTTATGATCGGATCTCAATAAAATTTGACTTAGAAATATATTGTATCACAAGAACAGACATAAGATACCTTTAAAAAAGATACGTAGAATATACTTTATTTGTAACATATAGTAAAGAAAAGACACAAACAATATATTAAAGAATTACAGTAAAGCACCCTTATTACTGAAAGCAATCTTTTCATTCAGTAATAAGGGTGCTTTACTGTAATTGCAATGCAATGCAACCTTAGGGATTTAAATAAGCAGACGAGGCGGGTGATTGCTTGTATCTAGTCAATTGCGGGACCCGTGCAAAGTCGAAACGGCTAACCATCGAAGCAGGTGGATAGTAATTTTGTGATTAGTACTGCATGAGTGCGCGAACTTTCTCTACCCATTGTTACCTGTATCTGATTGAAAGCACGGTTTGCGAATCATTACTGTCTACCATTGGCCCCGACGCAGTACCAACATGGACCATTTCACTACCGCCAAATTAATTGCTTCCTAATTTGTTTGGTACTAGTGATGTCGCGCGGGTTTACCCGCATAGATATGATAGGAATTTTTAAAATAAGTATATTTTTATTTTTCCATATTAAGCAAAAACATACATAGGAAGAAAAAGTAATCATAATAGAAAAAATATATAATTACTGTATTCATTACAAATAAAATATAAAATCTTTTCTATTTTGTTATTATAATTTCAGATATAGGAATAAAATAATTAGATTTTATTTATTAACAAAAACTTATTACTTTACATGTATAATTAATGTATCATGACAACTAGTCCTCTACACGGTCCCTGGTTAGTTCCGATTAGTTATATGGGCTGCCTGACCAGTAATCGCCCTCATCCTCATCCTCCAATGATTCGCAACCATTCATCATTAGCAATATTCCGTTATCATCTATAAAAATCTATAAACCATAATTACACCGCCAATATGACGTAACTCGGTCTTAAATCGTTCGAATGTTCGATACGATCGATGGATGCCACCATTGGAATGTCAATCACGGCGCGTGCATTCGTCTGCCAGACTGCTGGTCGCCCTGATTGAACCGTACAAACCTGACTCACTACACTGCATAAATGTATTACACTTGCACTCGTGTGCAAGTGTAATACATTTATGGAAATTGTGCTAAAACAACACATGCGTGTTGCCTTCCGGCCTTATTATAAACAATTTGTTTAATCTTTCATGTATATATAATAATACAACAACAATATTCTCAGGACAATTCACACAGCAAGACCCAAGTTAAGCTAGGTAAAGCTTGTGTTATGGGTACTAGATAACTGTTGCAAGTGTATAGATATATTTTTTTTCGTAAAATCATATGTATTATATATAGAAAACACCTAGAAACAATCATACTCATGAATACGAATGTGCCGTGCGAGAAATCGTACCCGCGACCATCGGAAGTAAGGCAGACTACCGAGGCCGACATATTAATAGTCACTAATGACTTTTCATTTTAAGTACCAGTTAGAACATTGAGATCTATCATAGCACATCAAATGGTAAACCGGCTTGAGGTAAAGGGGGCGTGGATATTCATTATGGGAGTAGAGTCCCCATATACACTGGCCCTGTCAGGTCTGTCGCTATCGTGGTTCGTTCCTGAGGAGTCCGCCACGTCACTTTATTTTGATTTTCCGCTAGCATATACCAATCCATAGCGCTATTCCTATTTAGTATTGCTATGCCTTTTTTTTATTTCACTAGTCCTTTCTTGCGCCATCTACTTCTGTCTTCTCTCCTCTACCCAAAGATTGTCTGGAAGAGATTGTATACGCGATAAGATTACGCATTTTGTACCTTATTACTTCTGTTTATGTTCTATGTATTACACTTTTGGTGAAATAAAGAGTAAATAAATAAATTAATTAATATTCCGCCATTGATTATATTCACCCATTTATAAAAACTGTAACTTGATTAGGTTGCAATTATTTTGTATATTAAAAAAATATATTTTAATTATTTACGAACCATTTGATAGTTCGAAACCAACAATATTATATGGTACATAACTGCAACTATTGAATTATTCAATTTTAAACTGTAGTACCTGCATAATAAAGATCTAGATCACTCCTTCATTTGTACAAATTTTATATCTGGAAATTACTAAAAAACTGCCTTTCGTGTTTGCTTCAATGATTTACTTCATTTTTAATGTATTACGCTATGCAAACATTATAATTAAATAGTGACACAGAGTAAATAACACAATCCATTAATGATTTTGTAAATGTTTGTTTTTTAATATAATAATATTTGTCTTTAGTAGTAAGTTATTTTTACATTAACTGTAATATTTGACTAGCATACATAATATAGGGTATTGAATGAAGCAACAATCTATACTAATATTATAAAGAGATATTATATATATATATATATATATATATATATATGATAATTTGGTTTATAGAAAAGTAAACTCGTAATCACTACAACGAACACATTTCATCACTCAAACCCGGGTCACAAACTCCGGGAACTGCTCGAAGTTTCCCTCTCTGCTACACAATGAACCCGGCTCCCGCGCGGTGAATCCTTGAAATCCTAAAAAGTTCGTGTCAAAGTGATATGGGCTAAATATTATTTTAAGATATACAAAACTTACAGAGTTATGAGCATACGGGCGGAGCCAATAGTATACAGGATATGTATAATATATATTATATAATACAGGAGTACCTATAGTTAAGCCTTTGACAGACAATTTTCCCTACACACGGACATGGCGTCGTAATAAATATTATTTAAAAAAAGATCTGAAACAGTAAATTATTATGTAGTTATAACACATAAAACATAACATGCAACATAAACCTAAAAGCAATCTCAATTTTAATTTAATTTCACTTTCTTTGTCGTAATTAGAATATTTAACTGCACCGCAGCTGTAATGTGTTTACGGAGAATGTGGTAATTATTTACAATTATTATGTTTTATGTGGTATTATTATTTGATATGTTGGTAGTTTTATTTAATCGTAAATGATGGAAACTATAAAAATATATGTTTTAAGAAACGCCATATACCAACAGGATAAGTACTACTAGGGTAAAAATTTCTGGAACACAATTATTGTTTTTATTAAGAAATAATTTTTATAATGCAATATAATATATTTTTAATAAACTTTCATTACCTTTCAAATAATATGTAATTTGCATCAGTACTTGTCAGTTCTGAAGTGATGATTAAGTGCACTCGAGTGAAGAACTTACGAGTTGTTGTGAGCGGCGGACAGCGACGCTCATGTTATGTTATCCGTCGTGGGGTAGAATCACGAGTTAGAAAGCGAATTTGGCAATCTACTAGCTAGTGGAACCGTGGGAAATTGCCGTGACGTCATAGATACAGAATATAGATAATTTGTATTTGTTGCATTCGCATCAATAACTGCTACCATACCCTGGGCTATCTAGTACCAAATTAAGCCTAACTTATTCTAAGGACACAAAAACAATTTATAAATATTAAATATGTAGTGTAATGACATACATATTATACACATAAACTATTATATATGTCGTTTAAAATGCATACAAAATTCTCCTTGGCTGAAATTTTATTCCGAATGAGTGGAGGATAGTGGATTAAAAAAATATACTATTCAATAGTTTCTAAACTTAACTTTATAAATTAATGGGACCCGCGTTTGTACGTGTGGACACAAAATTTATTGATAATAAATCAAGCGACACACCTATACCTATATGAAACTATATGGCACCACATATTATTGTAGTATATAAATAACATAATGAAACTTCAAAAATTTAATTAATTAATCCTTTGGAGGGTATTTTCCTGAGCTTTTTTTAGCCTGTATGAAGGCCCATATTTAATAATATATTGTGTGATAATTTCTACATAATTGCTCCTGTACGCAAATACTTAACATACTAACATAAATAGATAAAAGCCTCGTCATGATTTTAAGATTTTATTATTTGCAAAGATTATTTCTATTTCTACGGATATTGAAATACAATACTATAAAGCTAAAATACAATATGACTCAGCGTATTAATTGTTATAATATTTTTCACCCACAGACGGGATCCGGCAAGACATATACCATGGGAAGCGGATGGGAGGGTGAAGGCGAGGGTCAAGAGGAACGTCGAGGTATAATTCCTCGTGCCATCCGAGATCTCTTCGCCGGCGCTGAAGCTCGAGCTGAGACAGCACGTGATCAGGGTCTACTCCCACCGGAGTTTTCAGTCCAAGCGCAATTCATAGAGCTATACAATGAAGATATAGTCGATTTACTGGATCCAGCCAAAGACCCATTTGCAAAGGTATTGTGATTTATTCTCTAATGTAGTAATAAATAAAATAATTACTAAGTTTACTTATAAGTTTACATGTAAATTAACTGTTATCCTTATTTTGGGAAGGAACTGACACCTGGTCAGCTCATGCTAGTTTGGGAGTCAGGACTGCATCAAATTATACACTAATGGTTTAAATAAAATAAAATAAATACCTATATACACATATATAAATACACAACTATAATGTGATTCTTTGTTTACTTCTTTATGTTTACAAAATTGTTTATTAATAAAGTACTTTTTACGTAACCAATTAACTAAATCCTTACGCTATTCATCCGTTGTTTGGCAAAAAGTCAAAACCAAATCGGTAATTAGACAAATTATAATTAGAAAATGCTAATAAGTAAGCGGTGAACAAGGCCAATTTCCCGTCATGTCATACTCGGAAGCTCAAGGCTAGATATAGGTATTTATCGTAAACCATGTCGCAATTAAGCTGGTCAGTGTCCACGGAGCGCGAAGGAACGCCAGTGCAGGGCAGCGAAGCGTACTCTATCTATAATCTTTACATAGTATAAAACAAAGTCGTCGCCGCTGTCTGTCCAAATACATCTTTTAATGACGAAATGGATTTTAATGTTGTTTTCAGCAATAGATACAAAAATTTCAAATTCAAAATTTCAAAAGATTTGTAATACATCCGTGGGAAGCATGGACGGGTTGCTAGTAATATACAAAACTGAAAAGGAGTTTGTTTGTTTGATCGGGCTATTATTTCGAACAATATAAAGAAATACAAAGTCGTTCGTATTCGCAGTTTGGTTTGTAAAATGTGTACGTTGAAAGGTGAGAGTGATATTGCAAAGCATGCATGCAATTTGATACTCCGTAATAGCAGTACATGAGTGGTATCGCGGTCCTCACATGCTGTAATGATGTCCGTGGTATGCATATATGGGCGACGGTTACCACTTACCATAAGGTAAACCGACAGCTTGTTTACCTTTCCAGATTAAAAAAATACCAGTCGGATTTAAATTACTTTATATATGTTATAGACCATGTATCGCAGTAGGTTTTAACTTATAAGTTTATCATTACGATTTCACCCATATAAAAAAAGGCAGAATAAACACATAAAAAAAAGTATTCTTTCACTAGCGTGTGATAGAATGCGGTTTGAAGTAGGGAGGCTGCTGTTTCGTTTAAATTAAACGTCTTGTGAAACCGCAGAGCACAGCTAGTCAGCATTTAACTAGATAAGCCGATAAACCAACCGGCTTACTTGATTTCTAAGGCGCACACACGAAACTTGATTTATGGATTGTAGTGCTAACGTAGTTTTAGATTATTTATGAACATTTAATAGTCGGTTAACGTCCGAAATAACTGTGATTACCTAGTAATTAATAGTAGTTAAATATATTCAAATATCTATATTCGAAGACCATGAATAAACTGACTACTTCATTTCTTATTTGGAAAAGATATCGGTTTGGGTGTTTTATGTATAGTATGTATGTATTTACGAAAACAAAAAACATATCTATGTATTTTTATCAGTTATCTACTACGCAAAACACAAGGTTTAACTAGCTTAACTTGGATCTAGATGGCGCTGTGTGAATTGACCTGAGATTTTTATTATTATTCTTTGTAAAACTTATCTGTTTATTAATTGTGTGCTATAAAATTACGATGTAGGTATTCAGTATTACTTCTATCTCTATTCAGAGACCTTGCGTCTCCCTCCAGCCAAACGCTATAGCAATACATTCAATCGAAATTTTGGCCTAAATATTTCCGTTCCGCTTTACTCGGCTTACTCTATTCGTGTTATTACGGTAAATATAAAGGTATTTTTGTCATTATTCTAAAAATTCATTATGATTCCAATATCTTGCACATTTCAAATGTTTATGCTGTCTTGAATTATTCATGCGAATGAGCTAAAGATATGTTTTTAAAGAGTTTTTCAATTAGGTGTGAATCGTATATGAATATTATTTGCCTTATTCTAGGGATTTCATCGAGTTTAATTAGTTAGTGTAATATAATAAAATAATAATAGTAAACAGTAGCACTTTTTGTATGGAGAGGGCTAAGGGATATCCCTTAGGCAGCCTTGAATTTAGACAATTGTCTGTATCACTGCCACCTTGGATTTGGCGGCCTCGGTGGTCTAGCGGTTTAGGACGCTGGATTTCGGATTTTTAAACAACAGAATGATTGTGTGTATCGGTGTGCGTATTTTCTATGTATATTATGTATGTATTTAAAAAAAACTCTTTATGTATAAGTTGTCTTTTATCCATAACACAAGCTCTGCTTAACTTGGGACTAGATGACGCTATGTGTCTCGTCTACATCAGTCGGAAAGCTGCTTTGTAAGTGATGTTACAGAAGGCTGAGTTATAGCAGTGAAATTACAGGGTATAGAGGCATGTTACGTTACATAAAAGAACGAAGCCTCATTTTGACGACTAGACTAGCAGTTATCCAGCTATTTACTGTTGTAATTTACTTGTGTGACTTGTAATTTGGAACCTATTGATAGTAATAATCCTAGGACGATTCACACAGTGTTATCTAGTCCAGTACATTTATTTTGTAAATGCATACATAATATACATGGAAAACACCCAGACAAAAAATACTCATATTCATAGATACAAATATTTGATTGACATCTAAATTTCAGTACATAATTATTTCTTTATCCTCTTGTATTCAATTTATAGGGAATCAATAAAAAAAATAATGACAATATCCGGCTCTGTTTATCTATACTACCCATCATACCAACAACGTAACAAAATGACTATAAGTTTAAAAACCGCATCAGAATAATAACAATATAAATGTCTATATCACATCCAGAGTACGTTGAAAATAACCGAAGATGGCTGTGGTGGTGTCCGCGTGGTGGGCGCTTCTACCCGCACCGTGAGGGGCGTCAGGGACGCCCTAGGAGCCCTTCGAGCGGGGGCTTTAGCCAGGACCACTGCAGCCACCAACATGAACTCCTCATCATCACGGTCGCACGCTGTCTTCACTCTGATGATGCGGCAGAGGCGACTGGCAGCCGACCAGGATATGACCGATCGCGATACAGAAGCGGAAACCCCAGATCAATACGAAACACTGACGGCTAAATTTCATTTTGTTGATTTAGCCGGCTCTGAACGACTTAAGCGTACAGGTAAATAATACGATGCGTCTTTAAATGTATCTTCAAAATAAAAACTTTTAATTTAAAATTATTTTGAAGTATCTAGCACCAGAAATAAAGCATTAGTTGTCTATCCCGTTTTCACTGCTCTCCTATGCTATAAATATTCCGGAAGATAAAGAAATAATTTATCAGAATATAGACATTTTCATTAATATTTTTATTAGCCTATGTTCAGCTGTTTTTCAGCAGATTTCTTAATTAATCCTCTATTCGACTCCCTAACGTCAAGCTCATACTAGATGCACGGTTTTTTTTAATTGCTCATAATGGAATGGTACACTCGCCTGCGCTAACGGTTTACGCTGACAAGGCACGAGTAGCATAATTCTTGGCAAATTATGAATTTCTCATAATGGTTTCCAAGGTCAACCTGACATACATTAATAAGGTACATTGCGAGCAATGAGGTTATAAGTCTACATTATTACCAGTCGCCTTCCCTCCCTGGATGCACGGTTTGGTTTTAGATGTAAACATGATTGTATACAAAATATGATTTTTTAATTGATGATTGTAGCTGTGACGTGGCCGAGTGGAATGAGTAGTCATGCTCACTAAAATGTCCAGACATGTGGCGGCGTGGTGGGCCGGGTCATTGGGCTCCCTAAAATATGGTCGAGCGCAGTGATGGCTGGCTCATCCGTCATACTCGTGAACGAGTGGTGCTTGTAGGGACTGGTCTGCTCTTATCACTACGACTGATTTAATCTTATTGTGTTTTTATATTTGAGCCTAAATAAATTAGTGCTGGTTGGTAGTTTGTTTCGACTTGTAAATGTGAACTTAAAAGGATTGTTTAAAAGAGCAACACAAGTTTCTTGCTTATTCTTCTTATGATGAGACAGCTTTCCGAATAAGCGGTAGATTTAAAAAAATGTTGACTATTCAAAAGTCCTTAAAATAAGTTTATTTGAATAAATGATTTTCTATTCTATTCTAATTTCATATATAATGATAATTCCAGGTGCGACGGGCGAGCGGGCACGGGAGGGTATATCTATTAATTGTGGATTACTGGCCCTCGGGAATGTTATATCGGCGCTAGGAGACAAATCGCGGAAAGTCCTACACGTACCCTACAGAGATTCCAAGCTTACCAGGCTTCTGCAGGATTCTTTAGGAGGTATTATTTTTTGTAAAACAACATATTCAATATCCATTTATTATTATTATCTCTGGACTAGAACAATTCGTAAAGTACCATCTAGTTCCAAGCTAAGCAGAGCGTGTGTTGTTGATAACTAGACAACGAATAAAAATACGTAGTTTATTTTTGTAAATACATACATAATATATAACATAGTAAGCTTTACTTATTATGGAACTAGACGGGGCCATTTGTCTGGGATTATTTATACTCAATAAGATTTCTGCAGTATCACATTCACAATAAGTGTTTTTTTTTTAAACTTGTTCTACGAATACCGCGATTGGTATGCATTTTGGTCAATAATTAGGAAATATATATACTTAATTCATAGGAAACAGCAACACAGTAATGATAGCGTGCGTGTCACCGAGCGACCGTGACTTTATGGAGACACTGAACACGTTGAAGTACGCGAACCGAGCGCGCAACATCAAGAACAGGTGCATCGTGAACCAGGACCTCACTTCGCAGACCATACGCGTGCTACGGCAGGAGGTCGCCAAGTTGCAACTAGAGCTAGCCGAGTACAAACAGGTCCGTCAGAGCTATTGACTAATAAATTATAAAAAAATGTTAACACTATGCTTTATAAGTAGAAAGAAGGATGCGGTCGAAATGCTCCGAAGAATCCATAGAGTAATTGTGACGGATGCACTATAATTCACTACTACATTATAGCCTGTGTGTGTTAACATAGTAGTTTGAGAGTGAGTTCGAATGAAAATGTCAGTGTAAAAATTGTAAAACCATCGTATTTTGGATTGGGCGTTTGCAAAGAGTCTCAGATTAAGGATGTTAGAAGGCATATATGTAGGAGACTTCAAGTTAGAAAAGGTAGAACTTTTGTGCATGATATTCGCTGCCACGGTACGAGTGAAAGAGGATGTGAAATTTTATATATAGACAGATCTCATCATAGCTTAGAGTAGGGTATTTCGTACTCAAATTATCCAAAGAATACAAATGAAATTTGATACACATAAGTCGTATCCTAAGTGTTACAGGACATTATGAAGCTAGTATATAATTTGTACAACTTATTATTCGTGTATTTTGCTAATCTTATTCATTTTTCACAGGGTAAACGTGTAATATCAGAGAACGGCGAAGAAGGATGGAGCGATGTAGTCCAAGAGAATGCGATCTTAACTGGCGAGGTGGAGTCGCTGCGGCGGCGGGTGAAGGCTATGCAGGACACTATAGACCAACTGTCCGCCCGGAACAGCGAACTACTGGCTGAGAAAGCGCTGGGCACTTGGGCACCGAAGGATGGCAGCCCTGACGCTACTGACTGTTCTCTCACCACATTGGTTCAGGTAGGTGACACTGAACAAACTTTTGAACCATGCAGACTGTACCTAGAGTACCTATTAAGCCGTAAGCAAGGTAGAATAATCTGATCATCAAGAATCATCAAACTGAGCATTTACCAAAAATAAAGTGGAAATTCTTAAATAAATATATGTCATATAGTTTTCATACTATGATATATTGACCTGAATTAGTATTAAGATGTTATTAATTAGTTTTTAATGTGGAAGAAAGATAAGAAATGAAAGAGAAGGAAGAGTAAGGAGGAAGTTAGTCCCCTGAAATACTGACTCAATGATTGTCCTCAGTTGACCCCATTATACGTCGATTGTACCACTGTATCCGGAAAACAGATTTAGCCAAGAATAGAAAAAGAATTTCAAGAAGATATACTTTAATCAGTTTCAAATAAACATTGTTATCGACTGCATTGTATAATTAAGGCCTAGTTGATAAACAACTGTTTTCGATTTCAATAACATTCTCAACAGCAGAAAGCAATTAACAAGAGTGATATATGTTATGTCTAAATAAATATTTCACTGTTATTAATTTCACTTTTAATCTCGTTACTTGACCTGCTTTAGAAAGTGAGATGAATCTATTGCGCTCCAGACGAAAGTACATCCATAATATAGTGAAAGTTATGTCTATAATAATGAACATAATCATATTCGTGTTTTTATTAAAGTATAGAAAAGTATACTCTTATATATAAGTGGCTGACTCTTCTGCCTTAGCTTCGAACGGGTGTGAAGTAAAAAAGAGGAATTTCATCTAATGCTACATATTATATACATATTGAAAATATATTTGATTTTTTTTTTTAATATTTTAAAAGTTTTACTTTGTATAACACACATATACATATAACTCAAATAATAATCATTATTATTATTATTATCGGTTCCTGTAATATGACATGACAAGTAATTCGCAATCCCCTAGGGATGTGCTCCGGGATACACAATTCCCGGATATCTGAATTGAGAGCCTCTTGTTAGGCAAAGTTACTATAACTAACTTAAACTATTAAATGAATTAAATGGTATAATAATTATTAATAAAGTTAGCCTAATTTAGGAACCAGTGTGATTAGATTCCCATAAGGTTTGAAAACATAATTGGATCTGGTAGGGTCGCTGTTTTTTCTGGCAAGACGACGTCTGAATATTGTAGATTAATTTATTTATCTGTGCAGGGGTACGTGAGCGAGATCGAGGAGCTGCGCGCGCAGCTGCTGGAGGCCACGGCGCTGCAGAAGGCGACGCAGCGCCGCGAGCAGCAGGCGCGGGCGCGGCGCGACTCGCACTCGCTCGACCCCGCCGCGCTGCTCGACGACGCCAAGCGGGAACTGTACAAGGTACGCACGTGACGGCCACGTGACCACATCGAGCAGCAGGCGCGGGCGCGGCGCGGACTCGCACTCGCTCGACCCCGCCGCGCTGCTCGACGACGCCAAGCGGGAACTGTACAAGGTACGCACGTGACGGCCACGTGACCACATCGAGCAGCAGGCGCGGGCGCGGCGCGACTCGCACTCGCTCGACCCCGCCGCGCTGCTCGACGACGCCAAGCGGGAACTGTACAAGGTACGCACGTGACGGCCACGTGACCACATCGAGCAGCAGGCGCGGGCGCGGCGCGACTCGCACTCGCTCGACCCCGCCGCGCTGCTCGACGACGCCAAGCGGGAACTGTACAAGGTACGCACGTGACGGCCACGTGACCACATCGAGCAGCAGGCGCGGGCGCGGCGCGACTCGCACTCGCTCGACCCCGCCGCGCTGCTCGACGACGCCAAGCGGGAACTGTACAAGGTACGCACGTGACGGCCACGTGACCACATCGAGCAGCAGGCGCGGGCGCGGCGCGACTCGCACTCGCTCGACCCCGCCGCGCTGCTCGACGACGCCAAGCGGGAACTGTACAAGGTACGCACGTGACGGCCACGTGACCACATCGAGCAGCAGGCGCGGGCGCGGCGCGACTCGCACTCGCTCGACCCCGCCGCGCTGCTCGACGACGCCAAGCGGGAACTGTACAAGGTACGCACGTGACGGCCACGTGACCACATCGAGCAGCAGGCGCGGGCGCGGCGCGACTCGCACTCCGTAGAATTTGTTGCGGCACCGTGTAAGTGAGAAGTCTACAAGGTTCGCCACAACTGTCTACATGACCAACATATATACACAATAGCACATAACACCAAATTTGATAGAATATAAGATGTATGCCTGTTATCCTCTAGTTTCTCTTCAATATCTGATCCCTTCAACGGAAACACACCTTACGAAACAAACAGATTAGCATCTGAAACAAGTAATATCTTTGTGAGGTATTATATTAACTACGTTAGTTTATTTTTTTAATGGATGATAATGGATTGGTGCACTCACCTGTGCTAACGGTAATGGGTGTGGGGCACCAGTGGAGTAAAACATGATGTCAGCTCACCAGGAATTAAGACAATAGTTTCAAGGTGGAACCTCGTGCAGGTCAACCTCACACAGCAATGGATCATCAGTCCACATGACTAACAGTCTCTTTACCACCTAGTTTTATGTACTTATAGGAGAAGGAGCTACTAGCCCGCAGTATGGGCGAGCTGGAGTTCCAACGGAAGCTGAACATGGGCGAGGGAGACGGTGAGAGACCCATCGGTGAGAGAGAGCGCGCTGAGGGGGAGAGCGCTGAGGACTCCGAGCCCTCCGACGACGACTCCTCCCGCAGTGACGACGAAGAAGACGACGAAGAGACCGCTGGTACGGAACTATAGTAATCTATATATTAATACGTTAAGAAAAAATGTGTACCCCTTTTTAAAATTTTAGCAAAATCGAACGTTTATATCCATGAATATGACAGTTTCTAGTTTCTGATAGTAAATGAACCTATGTCTGATTGCAGGTCAACGCGCGTTGACAGCACAATTAACAGCTTTAAGCGAAGATATAGACATGAAGGCACGCTTGATCGAGCAGCTGGAAGTTTCGCAGCGACGGGTGGCAGCACTGCGACAATACTACGAACAGCGGCTTGACACGTTGCATCACCAGATCAAGGCCACCAACGACGAGAGGGATAAAGTGCTTGCATCACTTAGTGAGTTATTTTTATATTACACAGGTAGTTTCATATTTCTGACATCAAGTATCTTGCTTTGTAACCTCTGATTGGGTTTGTCTATTATTGAGATACAGCATTGAAACTCTTATTTATGAAAGTTTATACTTTTTATATCTATCTATTTATTCTAAGTAATGCAGTATGCAGTGTCTACGGCTCATGATAAGAGGTACGTTATCTTGTGCCACTCGCAGTAATACTCCAGCGTTGCCATTTTAAAGGACTAAAAAATCCTGCCTCTTATTTCTTACTTACTTACTCTGCTTGATCGCACCGTACAATCGAAACAGAAAATATGAAAACTTTCTTAACACGACTATCTTGTTCCTGACGGGCCTAGGTAGAGATCTTTAAAAAAGTGATACAATAGATCTCTTCAAGTGCTAGGTCTAAGCACCAAGACCAAACCACTTAATAAAAAAAAATACAGCTATGCAGTCGTCAACGCCGAGCGAGAAACTGAAGCGCGTGAAGGAGGAGCTGGAGCGGCGACTGGCGGCGATGTCGCGCGAACTCAAGCGGCTGCAGGCAGCGCAGCGAGAGAACGCTCGACTGCAGCGCTCGCAGCAGCTCACCGCGCAGCAGCTGCTCACGCAGCGCGCAGACCTGCAGAACATGAAGCGGGACAAGGTCCACACACATATATATACAACTTCACCACTGTTGTCCCAGATGCATCGTCAATTGTACACGCGGTGAACGCAACATTTAATATATATTGCTTTGTATTATGTGATTTCATTTGAATCAAATATGACAAGGCGTGATCCTACCGTCGTCGTCGTTTATTTGGTTAATTTTCGGTGTTTCAATCATCAGAGTATCCTTTAATTCTTGAAATCCTTTAATCATAAAATTACATAAAAATGAGAAAATACATTAATATTGAATACAACACACGATTAACAACGATAAAATCATTACCTTATAAAAGAACATATAAGATATAAAAATAAAAATAATATTTATCTAAGTGTTTCTTTACAGGTAAAATTGGTACAACAAATGAGACAGGAAGCCAAGCGGCACGCTCAAGCAGAGGCTCAGAGAGCTAAAGAAGTATGTATACTGTTAATATTTTTGTCTAATAATTATAGCCGTTTTACCTCATTCCTGTATCTCCACTCATACAAAATTTAAATTTAAATAAAAAATATTTCGAAAATAGAATATGAACGTGTAAGTAAATTCTATATTTAAATTTTATAAAAGAATGGTCTACCCTGTATTTTACATATGGACGTGTATAAGAATGAAAAAAATACAGTTCTTCTTTTAAAATATTGGTCAAAATACAATCTTTCTTTTAAAAGATCTATCTTTTGTTAATTTTTCTTTTTAATTCATTCAGGTAGCGCAACTACGTAAGGAATCGAGGAAGAATGCTAATACAATTAGATCATTACAGGCTGAAACGAAACTTAAAGATCAGGTACCTATTTCATTGTTTAGTTCTTCAGTTGTGTTTTATTCGTCTCTTATGTCTGGATATCATGACTTATTAATAAAGTTTAATAAATACTAATTTAAATTTGTTTTCATTAGGTATTAAAACGGAAACAAGAGGAGGTTTCGCTTCTAAGACGAGGAAACCGCGAGAAACTAAGTAGTCGTGCTGCAGGTAGACTACATGGTATGTTATTTATGATTACTATAACTTTTTAAATAATATCTAAAATTATATAATACTAAACTTTGTAAAGTCGCTCGACGTTGACTCGTAACTCACGAAGTTGTGTTGATAATAGTGTGGCGCGATGCTTAAATCTAAGTTATGTGGAGATGTAAACAAATGGAAGAGTGCCGAGTGTTGACAGAATAATATATTATATATATTTGACGGCGTCGATAGTCTAGCGGTTTAGCATACCGCTTTACTTACAATCGCGGTTCAATTCCTCGCACGGATGATGACGCACGAATCCCCTCTATCCATCTTGGTGTTTCCTATATTGTATATATAAAGAATCTGTGTATTTATATCAGTTATCTAGTACTCACAACACAAGCTCTGCTTACCATGGGACTGCTTACGTGGAGATGGCGTTGTGTTTGGTAGTAGTCAGTTTAGTATTTGTATGTTAGGACAATGACACGGCGTGTCATCGTACAAATGTCGTCGAGAGTCGTCGCCATTATTATTAACGTCGCGTTGAATGCTACTTGACCCGTGATTTTATTGCTAGAGAAATGTTTGTTGAGGTTACGTTGTATGTGGTCAGAGAGTCGGCGGGGGGCGCGCGACGGCGCTCGTGCGGCTCGCGCGGCGTGGGCGCGGCTGTCCCGGTGGGTGTCGCGGTCGTGCGCGGCGCGGCACACGCTGGGCGAGCTGGAGGCGTCCCTCGAGCGGCTCGTGACGCAGCGCGAGCGAGCGCGGGCCGACCGCAGAGCGGACGCCGACCAGCTGCGCGGCTACCTGCGCGCCGCCATCGCCGACACGCAGGCCCAGATCATGCAGATCGAGGTGCGTACGCGCGCGTTCGTATGCGCACGCATGCTGATGTATTTTTTTATATGTAGAATGGGAAGCATGCTTGACGGGTTATGTCGTGGTTAGTAGTGAGCGTCATCTTTATACGTAAACGTCACTTTGTACATGTCACGTCCTATACATGATATGTCGCCGAGTCGTATGATGTATATGTCGTAACATGCGCAAAGTGTATTTTGGTTATGTGTACAATGGCAAACATGCCCGATGGCTAATCGTTTGTATAATGGACATGTCACGTCACCATGGACCACCATGGACAAATCATAACATATTATGTAGTCATATGACATATATTATCCTCCAATACGTTACTATTCCGTAGTGTTAATAACAATTGCTTACAAAGCCCAACAAATACAAATAAGATCGAGGTAATTCATGCAAATGACTTTGTATAAAGTCATCCAAGTGACAAAAATGCACCTTGTACCACAAACCCACTTTAAAATCTAAATTCTCGTTATTATCAATAGCGATAATTATGATATTAGTCAAATAAAATAAAAGTTGAAAAATAATGTAATGAAAAAACACAATTTCGTGTTTAGTCCTAATTAACATGATTTACTTTCTATAAAATCAATATCAATCGTTCATCGTTTATGCATCACATTAAGTTATTTTATTTAAACTACTGAACAAATTATTATACAGGAGGAGAACGAAGAAAGTGAGCTACCGCAGCTGCTGGAGCAGATCGAGTGTTCGGAGACGGGCCGGTACCTGCTGGAGCGGCTGGCGGCGCTCACCCTGCAGCACGCGCAGGACGCCGCCCGCCACCTCAAGCTGCTCCACGACACGCGCGCCATGCTCACTGAGGTACCATAGTACTATCTCTTTCTTTCCTCCTGTATAGATAGGTCTGTATAGACCTACTCTATGCTTTTCTATCGAGGCATAACAATTAAAATATGATATACAAACTTATTTACCTGATGATAAGTTGCTGTATATTTATAGCTTTGCTGACCGTAGGACTAGATGGCGCTATATTAATTGTACAGGTTTTTTATTATTATTATTATTTGACGTAGCTGGAAGAGAGCTCCGAACGGACGGCCAGCGCTCTCCGCGCGGCCGGCGGCGGGGATCAGAACCTGAACCCGTGGGGCGTGCCGCCGCAAACGCTGCAAGCGCTGCTCGCCAACGTCTCCTCCGGGACCTCCACTCGCTGCGTGTCGCCCACGGACAGGTACCATCGCCCACACCTTCACTACTTTTGACACACGACGACGCAAACATTTGTATTCATGAACGTGATTATTTATTTTCCTCCTCTTTTGTGTTCCAGCACTCTCTTAGAACGACTACCTCCCAACGGCGTACGAGAAGTGAACACAGCCCCGACTTCTCCACCAGATGATATAACGAATTCACCGTTCCAACGAAACCTGTATGTATTATTTTACCGTTGTTGACCTTTTTAAGATGTACAATACTGTAGTACATTATTTTGATTTATCTCGTGGGGATCAGCTAGCGTTTGCAATGTAACCGCAAAAAATGTGTTTATTTACGACATCACTTTTCTCTCTAAATTTATCAGTTTCTTTACAATATTATGCATGTATTATACGTATAAACCTTCCTCCTGAAAACTTTTATCTATTAAAAATACTGCTTCAAAATCCGATACGTTGTTTAAAAGATTTAAGCATACATAGAGACAGACAGCGACAGCGATTTTGTTTTATACTATGTAGTGTAGTGATATATTCAACCCGCAGCGTGCGGCGCGGGTCTGTGCGGCTGCGGGACCTGGGCGTGGTGTCCCGCGACGACGACCCCATGACGCAGTCGCTGGTGGAGCCCGCCTCGCCGCGCCCCGTGCCGCTCAGCCGCGTGCCCAGCGCCCCCGGCAGCCTGCGGTGAGTAGCTGTCACATTACAACACCCGCCTCCCTAGTGGGCGTGGTGTCCCGCGACGACGACCCCATGACGCAGTCGCTGGTGGAGCCCGCCTCGCCGCGCCCCGTGCCGCTCAGCCGCGTGCCCAGCGCCCCCGGCAGCCTGCGGTGAGTAGCTGTCACATTACAACACCCGCCTCCCTAGTGGGCGTGGTGTCCCGCGACGACGACCCCATGACGCAGTCGCTGGTGGAGCCCGCCTCGCCGCGCCCCGTGCCGCTCAGCCGCGTGCCCAGCGCCCCCGGCAGCCTGCGGTGAGTAGCTGTCACATTACAACACCCGCCTCCCTAGTGGGCGTGGTGTCCCGCGACGACGACCCCATGACGCAGTCGCTGGTGGAGCCCGCCTCGCCGCGCCCCGTGCCGCTCAGCCGCGTGCCCAGCGCCCCCGGCAGCCTGCGGTGAGTAGCTGTCACATTACAACACCCGCCTCCCTAGTGGGCGTGGTGTCCCGCGACGACGACCCCATGACGCAGTCGCTGGTGGAGCCCGCCTCGCCGCGCCCCGTGCCGCTCAGCCGCGTGCCCAGCGCCCCCGGCAGCCTGCGGTGAGTAGCTGTCACATTACAACACCCGCCTCCCTAGTGGGCGTGGTGTCCCGCGACGACGACCCCATGACGCAGTCGCTGGTGGAGCCCGCCTCGCCGCGCCCCGTGCCGCTCAGCCGCGTGCCCAGCGCCCCCGGCAGCCTGCGGTGAGTAGCTGTCACATTACAACACCCGCCTCCCTAGTGGGCGTGGTGTCCCGCGACGACGACCCCATGACGCAGTCGCTGGTGGAGCCCGCCTCGCCGCGCCCCGTGCCGCTCAGCCGCGTGCCCAGCGCCCCCGGCAGCCTGCGGTGAGTAGCTGTCACATTACAACACCCGCCTCCCTAGTGGGCGTGGTGTCCCGCGACGACGACCCCATGACGCAGTCGCTGGTGGAGCCCGCCTCGCCGCGCCCCGTGCCGCTCAGCCGCGTGCCCAGCGCCCCCGGCAGCCTGCGGTGAGTAGCTGTCACATTACAACACCCGCCTCCCTAGTGGGCGTGGTGTCCCGCGACGACGACCCCATGACGCAGTCGCTGGTGGAGCCCGTCTGAACTGAATTTACTAAGCGTCAGAAAATGATGCAGTCACTATATGTTTCTTTAATAAATGAAATGTATATCAGTATTAGATTTATACATATACTTTATTATTAAAATTTACCACACCTTTTTTTTATAAAGTTTAATTAATTAAGTAAACGGATAATGTTGTAAACAGTCACTTTTAATAAGTAAATATATGAGTAGTAACCAGCTAGAATGAAATAGATGCAACAGCTTTGAAGTGCTATGGTAATTCTGTTCCTATGAATATTTAGCTCTAAAATAGTAGTCGGATTGCATCCTAATAACGTAAATTATTTGATCAATAACGTAACTCAGAAAAAGCTTACTGTGTTAGTGTAAGCCTGTATATGTTTTTTGCACGTACAATAGAAAAGGAAATTTAAAGTAGCAGAACTTAATATGTAGTAGAAAGAGAAGATATAAATCTTCTCTCACTCACATTATTATCTGTATGTGTAATTTGACATGATTTATTCACGCAAATGATCTATGTCTTCGTCTAAGTCAAAGTAGAGACACAAGTACGTGTTCCATTACATGTTCTTACTGCACTGGTATTACTATATAGTGTATCGAGTATTAATTGTGGTTCTGCACTAGTATGAAGATAGATTTAGACTAAAGACGCACATAAGCAATAGTTACAATATAAAGTCTATATTTAAAGTAATCACGCAGTGGATTAACGAAGACTCAGTTAGGGAGAATTAAGTAGGCTTATATTCCTACAGAGCAAACCAGTGCTTATATAGTGCTGCGGTACGTATCTTATTTTAATTTATGATAATGAGAAGGTGCTTGCGCCTCAGCGAAATGTTTGCCCTAGAGGGAAACCAGTCGAGGAGGATGATAAAATGTATTTCATGTCAGGTCGGTTAGCCCACTGTGGAAAATTCACCAGGAACTTATCACGATGGTATCCAGGAATAACTGCGTGTAAGTTAAACTAATATGGTACATTGTTAACAATGGTTAATCAGTCACTGCTCTAGTATCTGTACCCTTCCGTGTAAATCTACGTATAGTGTGGTATCACGAAAGAGAGTGAGAGTGAGTGGAGTAGAGTAGTGAGGGGCTCGCACGTCCGCAGGGGGCTGCAGCCGCTGGGCCCGGCGTCCCCGCTGACGGCGCGGCGCGGCCCGCCCGACTCCCCGCGGCCCGCGCGCCGCGCCCTCGCCCCCTCCGGCCTGCCCGTGCCCAAGCCGGCCTCCTTGTACGTACACCCGCACTCTCACACGCACGAGCACGAGCGCTCACGCTCACACTCACACTCACACTCACACTCCTCGCGCCCGCCCGCACTCGCACGCACACAGAATGGATCGCGAAGGTGGTGTCAATGCGTTAAGTAGACGTTTTTTTAGTTCAAAATTATGACATTTAATGCTATTATCGATCATGAAATTCAATCAATGAAATAAATTTATTTTATTGGTTCAATGAAATAAATTTATTTAAAAATAAGTGTTACATACGAATGTAACTTATCACATCTTACTTGTGACAGTAATAATTGTATTTTTAAAGATGTTTTTTTTATAATTATATACATATAATATTGAATTATAATCGAATATGTTTTAGATTTAACATGTTTTTTATACTACGATGATGCCACTTTCTCGTTCCATACCGTACTCTCATCCATTGTAATTTATTACCTACAGGATATATATATGCAATAAAATAGAATACCTACTAAATGTATGTATGTATGTCGTGTTGCAATAAGCAGTATAGCACATAAATATTTTGAGACATGATCATAAACACATTACGCTTACACTAAACCCAATTATAATATATTACATAAATTGAAAATACACTGTTACAAATAATTTTATGTGTATATACTAGAATGCACTTTAAAAGTATTGTATTAAAATGAGTTTTCTCTTAGCGTGGACAGCCTGTGCATAGACACGTAGGTCCCTAGTGCGTAAATAGATATCTATCTCTTTCGCTCCCTTCCCTATTTTATAGCGTCTCTGTCTGCATGGTACACTGGGCTTGGGTATATGTGCTATTATATAGTCAGTAGATGGTATTTAGAATGTTTGTGTACATTTTACAAAGCTATACATTTCCACTTCTGGGATGGTTTTTCTTTTAATTTCTAATTATATAGTACATCCAGCTTTGAAAATGTACAGAACTTCTGTAGTCACAATCTGTTAATAAATGGTAGAAAAGGTTGAGGTTTATGTTCTCGTGTTCAACGAATGAAGTTCAAGTCATTTTTGGTAATAATTTAAGTACTTTCAATAACCTATATTAAATTAGGATTCCAATCGACCAGTATGACTTGAACTTTGTCCGCCCTGGGGGTGAGGTGCGAAGCTGCGCGGCCTGCAGCTCACGTACTGTTGGTTGCAGCCTGCTGACCGACCTGTTCATAGTGGAGGACTGATGCTGCCTCTCTCCGGCCGTCTCTCCGCGCGCCCGATGTAGATACTGTGTTTAACGGCAACACTGCATGACCGCTTACTTACTCTACACGAAGATTATCCTAATCACGCTTGGAAGCTGTGTATCTGACGCTGTTTGTTAGGCGGTTATGATTTGTATAGAGTCACTACTATACACCCCGACTTGAAAAATCGCGCTATCAGGTAGCGCGTAATGCAATACTTTAAACTATACGAAAACTGATTTACAAAACCTATAATTTAATGATAAAAGATAGGTGATTTTGATTTAATACAATAATCATAAATAGCAAAGTGTTTTTCGTTTACGTTATAATCGATAACGTATCTTCTGTTGTCCGCGATGTACTATTGGGAATTGTAGTCTCTACCTCATGTCCAAAGTCTAGATTTATCCCGCAAAGTAACTAATATAAAAATAATTTCTATACAATTAACAACTAAATGTGTATAATATGCTTCTCTATTATTTAATAAACGGGATTGAATTCCGGGATTAAGGCAGCTTTGAATTATCGTGTATGAAATAAGGTGTAATGGTATAATTAATAGTCAAATGAATTGTATAGTCCGTAGCATTTAATATGTAGATAGTGTACTGACGAGTCGGTGTAGTGGTCATGACGTCACAAATTACAGTTTAAGATAAATTTAAGCTTTAACTTAGCATCTATGTATATATAGGTCGACTGAATCATTTATATTTAATATGTACTTAGTTATGAACACATAAATGTGGTATAATTCGAATAATAACATAACTAATATGTTCCTTCCCTAAATTTTATACTAATTGACAACTAATTGATAAATACGTATATTGTGGAAACAATAACTGAAAGTAAGGTGTTTTTATGTCCACCACTTAGTCCACGTAATCATAATTAACTACTCCATAAAGGGCTCAAACACTAATTCTATATATAGAGATATATCCAGTCTCTGACACAGGCTATGTCATGTTTGCTTCTATCCCAGAGGAAAACAAGTTATTCTTCTGGTAAGACCAAGTCAATATTATTTAGCCGATTCGGAAGTTTTTGAATAGTTAATGTATAATATATATTGTAACGCATACAATTGTTACTGAGGGGTACTAGAAATCCAAATACTACTTTGTAGCTTTATCTGCGACTTCGTCCTATCGTTTTTTTTTTAAGATAAAAGGTAGCCAATATCATTCGTCGTGTAACAATATATCGTCACGGCTAGACTAATATACATTCAGTAGTTTCATTATAAAAAGTATACACTTTCGCATTTATAATATGAATATACGTTTGCCAGATATAGACCAGGTAGCCGTTAACGTAACGTATGTGCCCTAATTAAACGGTATTAAGTATCTCGGAGAGGTAATATCGCCATAGGTAAGTAGTAAGTAGGTAATGTGTATAATTACAGGCTAAAACTGTAAAAGAGAGAAAGCAGACAAATCGAAATAAAATGAAGTAATGTGACACTAGGGCAATACAATAAGTGTACTTAATATAATTACATTATAAATTATTATTTATTATACATTGCGGTATATTTGTTAAGTTCAAGCTATAATTATTTGTGTTGTTAAGCTGTACTCGTGTATGTATTTCGGTCGACCTATATTTTTGTAAATATGTACTTATATATAATATTACGTAATACAATAAACGTGTTGTAAGTGAGCTTGTGTTTGTTTGCATCTAGCATGCTGCACCCTATTCCTGCTGTATTTAGTGCATGATAGAACACGTAGAAATTGCAAATATGCACTTTATGTCATGAATGAATAAAAGCGTTTATATATTTTTTGTCTTTTGCAAATGTTATTCTATAGAGATTCAGAGCGATATATTTTTAAATTATTATTTCTTCTAATTTGTTTCTGAAAAATGTTAAATATTCAAAATTGTTGGTCTAGATGTCCTCTTTAGGCCCGTAGTGGCCTAATTATTTTGCTCAGGCAATGTAGGGAGCCTGAGGGATGTATCATTTTTGTATATATCACAAAAGGAATATTTAAATTAGAAGTTTTATATAAAGGGGTAAATATAAACTTATCAATTTTTGACTGAACATAACTTTTTGATGTTAAAGAAAATCTAAAAATGTACAGTATGAATGACTAAATAAATCTATTTATTGTGAAATTTTTATTAAATAAATAATATGCCAAACAAATATCGCAATCTGCAATTAGCACCGCACTTGTGTTCCTCATGACAGCACCAGTAAGTATTATGTTATTATTTATTTTGTCTTGTTACGATTGTTTGCTTCTGCGCTTAGAAATTGTCCAAACCGCCTCATTAGATGTTATATACAATGTATTTCTAACGATATTGCTAATAGCAAAATCTAGAAATTAAATAGTTGAAAAATTTGAAAATTATTCAACTATATAATTTCTATTAAATCTAATAATTATATTAAATGTAATAATATTATTGGCAACTGTTTAATTGCCCCAATTTACGGGCATGCAAATTTTGAGTATATTAAAATTAAATAATCTATAATATTATAATTTAAAATTAATGTCTTATGAATACATCAAAATAAAAATACATCCAATAAAATCTAACTTGCGTCAATTTTACCTACCTTACATCTAAATAAGACACAATTGACAGAAGCTAGATGTAAATAGATGTCTTTATATTTAGATTTGATTAAATGTAATATGTTTAATTTTATTTAAGTGATATCGCTAGGTTTGTATTGTCTGGTGGCAGATCGCGTAGATTCGCACGCTATATTGTTTGTGCATCCATCGCCGCCCGTTCCTCGATTAACACCGTAGAATTAAACCACACTCTTACTTCATAGAATTAAAACTCGCCTGCTATCGAGTCAATTCAATTTTAAATGCGCTGTAATCAATCGCTTCTCGAATATCCGAGTGAGCGTTGTGTGCTAACAATTACAATTAACTATACAGGATTAGTCCTAAAGGAAGTCCTATATGAAACAGGAAGCCAGTCAAAACGTTCATAAGGGTAAATAATTTTCACATAGAAGTATACTGATAATTAAATAATATTAAAAAAAAATTATACAAACTACATTTGTAATTCGAATATTTACAATGGCGGTTGAAACACTGCCGAAATATCGGAATTCTAGATTCTGGCTTAGTACACCCTTTACGACTAACCGTGTATATTTATCCTTTATATCCTCATGGGTGCTAACGCTGCGACTAATATAGAGACGCGGGTGCGAGTCCGGGCGCTGGAACGGGAGTGGCCGCCGTTGGCATCAGCTCAGGAACGCCGCCCGCGTCTCCGGGAGCTGCGCGTCGTGCCCGTGATGACGACGTGTTCCTGCGGCTCGCCGGCGCCGGTCACGATAACTCTCCGCAGGGCATCGTCAAGGAACTCGCTATTAAGGTATGGCCTGTCCAAACAACTAGATCTAAACGAGATAGATAGAAGAGACCGGCGGATAGAACTGAAATAATCTTTATTTCAATAAATTTAATATAAGCTCTTTTGAATAGTCATATTTTTTTTTATTCTACTGTTGATTCGGAAACCAGACACACTACGAAAAGAACGAGCTACTTGTATATTGCTTTGACTTTTAAATAAATATTTAGGTTTTTGTGTGATAAAAACAGAGTATCTAATAATTTTGTCGTCACTATTATAATAAAACACCTCTCACATATATGCATATGTATCAATATCTAAAGAAACAAAATATGAAAATTGTACAACGTGGTGGAAAGAGTTAATGACTATAAATATTATTCACTAAGTAAATACTTGACTAAGAAATTTATAATTATTTAGTGGCTTAGTTTACTGTAGGTATTACAATAGTACACATTATATAAACAAGGTATTTATCATGACAATATTATTTAAAAACTCCTGAGTGTTTATATTACAATAAGTAATAAATAATAGTTAATACACACGTATGTTAATTTTCGAAAGTGCACCGACAACCTAAATATTTGCTTGTCCTTGTAAAGCCCCACATTTACTGTAAACATACTATATATGTACATTTTGTATGCCTACCAACGGCATCTAGGGGTAAAGGATGGATGGATGATATGTTTGTGTGTTGTTATGATGTTATGAATGTACGTTCTGCAGCGTGTTTCGGGCGCGTCCCCCGGCGGCGGCGGCGGGGCGTGGCTGCAGTGCACGCACGTGGCGGAGGGACACGCGGGCGCCGCGCTCTCACTCGCGGCCACCACGCACCTCCTCTACAGCGGCGGCGTCGGTGCGTACACACTCTGCCTATATTGCACATTAGTTATCTTTACATGCAAGCTCTTTCCCATGAAAAGGAATGAACATGTAAATGTAGACAAAGAGAACGAGAAAAACCGCAAAAGATGCGTGCGTGCGATTTAGAGCGGGAAAGCCAGAAATTTCTCAAATTTAAATTCAAATTTTCAATAGCGCATACGATTGAAGTCATTTCATTTACTATTCCTTTAAAATTTTATTTTCATACTATAGATTTCATTTTACAAAACACTTTTAAGATTTCTAAATTAACAATTACTCAATAGTCAACAGTCCTCCATACTTCAATAATAATTAATTATTTAAAAAAGGTTCGCGCGCATTCCCGCGAACTGGCGGCGCGCAGTCTTTCTCATTCTATCCTGCGTGAAAGCCGGTTCCCTACATAATACGTGTACCATAAATGTATCTAATATGATATTCGTAAGGGTTATTACATATTGTTTAAACCTGTTGTGTGTACAGACCGCACGGTGCGCGGCTGGGACCTGGTGGCGGGCACGGAGGCGTGGCGCGGGTGGTGCGGGGGCGCCGTGTCCGCGCTGGCGGCGGCCGACGGTGCGGGGGGCGGAGGCGACGCGGGCGGCGCGGGGGGCGCGGGGGACGCGGGCGACGGCCGCGTGCTGCTGGCCGCAGCCGGTGCCGCCGTCAGACTCTTCGACACCCGCACCCGGGCGCCGCTCACAACGCTCTGGTACATATTCAAATACTTTCAATAGTCTTAGTAACAAACGAATTTTATTAATTTATACACGTGTAGGGGTGCCATGACTTCTTCATTCCGATATTATTTTTTATTTTTTTATAACTCGACTTTTATAAAAAACCTAACGTCATTTACATCCATGTAGGTACACCACCAAGAGCGTCACGTTATTATGCGACGCTAGTTGGTCTCTTATGATCTGTCATTCCTGTCGACTGAGATGTAATTCCTACTTACCCGTATTTCGGTTACTAAGCAAGCTGCTTAACGACAGAATTGATTGGAATTTTTTTAATACCTAAGTAGTTTTACGATCCTGGAGATTCCTTTTCAGCAAGTTAGCTATTAATTACTAGGTAATTTAGTTGGTATTGAGCCTATTTGCCATAAGCAGATGAATAAAATCAAATATTTACCGCATCAGGTCATCGGGAGCGACGGGCGCCTGCCCGGCGACCCGCGGCGTGGGCGGCGAGGTGGCAGTCACCGCGCTGGCTCTCGCTGGCCCGCACCGTCTTTATACCGCTGCCGGGGACAAGCTGCGACTGTGGGACCTTCGCATGTGAGTATACTACATTTGCACATGCCTACATTAAAGCTAACTTTTTGACGAATGCGACGAGTACAGCTGGCACTCCAAATCCTCGGAAACACTTATGGAATGGCTGGAGACCAGGAGTAACCTGCCATTCAGCTGGAGTCGAAATAAGTAAATAAAATAAAATATGCAGTTATGTACATAATTCCTTGAACAGGTTGGAGTGCATGTGCAAGGTGTGGTCTGGTCACGCGGCCGCCGTAATGTGCCTGGCGCTGGCCCCGGCCTCCACGGGAGACCTGGTCGCCACCGGCTCGAAGGACCATTACGTGAGGACGCTCGAGATGCAACCACAGGATACTGGTATATTAACTAAATATTTGAACTTGGACTTGTATTATTTTATTTATATTGAACTGTGGTTATGAGATTATGAATATCAAGTGTTTAAGTCACCGCATATACTATCGTATCGTATCTATAGTGACAAATAATTAGCGTACTCAAATATCGTAGTGGATCGTATAGATACATGTGTTTGGTGGTCCCGCAGGCGGGTGGGAGGCGGGCGCGGGCGGGCGGCGGCTGCTGCAGCCCCCGCACTACGACGGCGTGCAGGCGCTCGCGCTCGCCGGCGCCGCGCTCTACAGCGCCTCGCGCGACACCAGCATCAAGCGCTGGAGCCTCGCCGACGGCTCGCTCACGCACGTACGTACCGCGCATGTGCACGTCTAATTTAGTTGTTGTAGGAAGAAATTTAACACCACGTGTACGTTAAATGTGTGTTAGATTTTAAATCAATATTTGATTACCAGAAACGTCCCAAATAACATTATAAGGTCCCTTAAACCTCTACCTGGGTTACGAGTCCCGGAAATTGCTCGAGAGTTTCCGTCTCTACTACACAATAGACCCGGCGTTAAGAAGTTCGCTTCTCTATCACTCACTCATTAACACTCGGTGTCGGTATCGGTGTTGTATATAATCGCTTTTAGTTGAAACTCTGGTTGAGAACCGTGTTAGTCAACTCGAACCGAGTTTATCCGAAAGATTTAGTTTAGTCTCCTTCAGTAGCAAATTATAGCGCTAAGCACATCTAAAGAAATGTTCACCTCAAAAATAGGCTTTATTGCTTTTAAAATAGTAACGTTACTTGTGCAGACGATGATGAACGCTCACAAGGGATGGGTGACGGGCGTGTGCGTGGTGGGCGAGGGGGCGGAGGCGCCGCTGGCGAGCTGCGGCCGCGACGGCACGCTGCGGCTGTGGTCGGCCGCGCTGCGCCCCGCCGCGCCCCCCGCCTCCCTCCCCGACGCGCCGCACGCCCTGCGCGCGCACCCCGACCCGCGCCGCGCCGCGCTCTACACCGCCGGCAAGTGAGTACCGCCCATCACACGTGATACACTGCGGCTGTGGTCGGCCGCGCTGCGCCCCGCCGCGCCCCCCGCCTCCCTCCCCGACGCGCCGCACGCCCTGCGCGCGCACCCCGACCCGCGCCGCGCCGCGCTCTACACCGCCGGCAAGTGAGTACCGCCCATCACACGTGATACACTGCGGCTGTGGTCGGCCGCGCTGCGCCCCGCCGCGCCCCCCGCCTCCCTCCCCGACGCGCCGCACGCCCTGCGCGCGCACCCCGACCCGCGCCGCGCCGCGCTCTACACCGCCGGCAAGTGAGTACCGCCCATCACACGTGATACACTGCGGCTGTGGTCGGCCGCGCAGCGCTGTGAGTACCGCCTAACACGTATAATACGCTGCAGTTATGATTCGCCTCATCCTCAGCGCCGGTGCCCGAATAACCGCACGTACTTAGACCAAGACTACACCGCTGGTATGCGTGTACGGCTTCCGAGCCCTCCACTTACAGCATGTTGTGGCTGTGGTCCGCAGCGCACCACTCACCGCGTATGTACCCGAAGCGCGCCGCGCTCTATACCGCCGGCAAGTAAGTACCGCCCCCACGCCTCCCGTGCACCACCGCGCCGCACGCCCTTCGCACGCACTCCGACAACGGTCTAAGTGAGTATCGCTATGTACCTGCGCCCCTGAACACGTTCCTCGATCAGCGCCGCGACGTTCTCTACACAGCCGCCTAGTGGATACCTCCCACGAGCAGGTCACGCTACGAGACAGTCGAGAAACAATGGTAAAAAAAGCAGTGGTTAAAATGTAATGTATTTGTAGTTTCATATTTAAGTATTCTTAACACCTAGGATAGTTACAACTATTTCTGTGATAGAATCTATTTATAAAGAGAGTGTTACAGCGGCGGCGAGGTGCGTGCTTGGCGGCTACTCACCGAGCAATGAGCTCGGAACTAAGGACCTCTGGGAGTGAACGAGAGGTGCGAGGAACGTCCACCTGCAGGTGCATATCACGCCCACTCTCCGCCGCCCGCCACCCGCACCCCTCACCGCTCCCACGCTACACCCCCATATGGAAGACTTCATTGTTTAACATCGATATTACTCAGCTACTCACATTACAGAAGCTTACTTTATGTTAGAGCCTTCATACACAAGTCCTAGTTACATTGCTTTACGTTTATCCAATTATTTGGATTCGGAGCAGTATGATATCATCTACTTGTAACTATAAGCCGTCATATCGGCTTACACTCATTTTATGTATCACCGCATACCGCGCATACGCATATTATGTAGATTTGTTACAATACAAATCGTGGGCAAAGGCGCTTTTTCACTATACATTTCATAAAATTTCGTCGTCTCAATAATTTAAATAGGATTTAGAATTTAGTACTTTTCAGATTTAGTACACCTTAAGAAACTAATATTTGTAAATACTCACACAGCGCCATCTAGTTTCATACTAAGCTGTGCTTGTAGATACTAAACACAATAAATTACTTAATACATATTTTTTTGTTCGTTGAGACTCATTACGAGTTCAGACTAGCCTTTTTCGAATGTATATTAATGTTTAGATGTCAGATATACCTATCAAAGCTTAGCTTCTACCACGCTATATCATAAGGGTGTTTTCATATAAACGCACCGTGTGTGGCAGAACGCACGATGTCATGAAACTCTCGCTACACACACTGCGACACAATCGCTACTGTAAAAAATCCATAACATGAGCCGGTTCCCGTCCGTATCTGTGTTCGCCGTATCCTCGCCGTCGCCTGCACATACTAAGTGACGTTGCTTAGCTGACTTGTTCTTGTAGTAGCAAAATTGTCTAATATATAGGGTTATAAAGGTTGCCTATACCAACCCGAAAGCCAGTGATATTGTTATACTTCCGAGACAAATGAAAGCACTAATTAATTAATAGAAGTTTATTTTGTTGAAGCCACTAACACATATTGCAGTTATATTGAACTAGACGGGAAGAGTGAGTGAAGGATCTAACCACTCAAACTTTCTTGAGTCTATAGTCGTAATCTACAATTATTAATGTCATTGAACTATGTACTTTTGCAAAGAAATCTTGCGGAAAATCGAATAAAATAAAATCAGCTGAATCAACAAATTTTTAGCTGACATCAGCTGAGTTCATTTAGCTCATAGAACGATATTAGTTTTTAAGTTTTTCTATATTTTCACTCTATATTATGCTAAGATGAATATTTTTTTATTATTTTTATCATCTACTCGATCACATGATTATGATTCTATGTGGTATGAAATATGTTTTATTTTTAGTCCAATTTTTTCTTGGGAAATTTGGTTCGGATTCACGATTAACTGGTTTTTGGCTTGGTATGGCATTTATTACTGCCCAACCCTGTATATTAGCATGTAAGTCTATCTAACTTACTAACTGGACTTTTGTTATAGTTTTCACTAATGTAAATAATTATCATACTATAGGTACTGTTCCGTACCGGCCTTCGTCGTTGCTCGTAGTATTTTTGTGACTAACTCTTTTGTTAAAAGTATTTAATAACTAACCATCACTTTTTCATTGTTTGTATTATTTGTATCGTCTTGAATTGTTACTCATAATTTATGAAAATATATTATTAATTCTTGCTTATTTGTCATATTTTTGCATATAAATTTGTATTCATTTAATAAAATCTCTACATACGTATTTAATAGTGCAAGGGTTCAACACACTGTCTTAGTGTATGTCTGTGTTTATTAATGTACATTACAAAAACATGTTTTGTAGCAATTGCAGTGTAAAGCAATACTTTGATGTGTACAGCGACGGCCGCGTGCGGTGTTACCGCGTGGTGAAGCCGCGGTGACCGTCGCCCGCCGCGCCCCGCGCCCGCCCCCCGCGCCGCGCCTGGAGGTGACCGTCGCCCGCCGCGCCCCGCGCCCGCCCCCCGCGCCGCGCCTGGAGGTGACCGTCGCCCGCCGCGCCCCGCGCCCGCCCCCCCGCGCCGCGCCTGGAGGTGACCGTCGCCCGCCGCGCCCCGCGCCCCCCCCCCGCGCCGCGCCTGGAGGTGACCGTCGCCCGCCGCGCCCCGCGCCCGCCCCCCGCGCCGCGCCTGGAGGTGACCGTCGCCCGCCGCGCCCCGCGCCCGCCCCCCGCGCCGCGCCTGGAGGTGACCGTCGCCCGCCGCGCCCCGCGCCCGCCCCCCGCGCCGCGCCTGGAGGTGACCGTCGCCCGCCGCGCCCCGCGCCCGCCCCCCGCGCCGCGCCTGGAGGTGACCGTCGCCCGCCGCGCCCCGCGCCCGCCCCCCGCGCCGCGCCTGGAGGTGACCGTCGCCCGCCGCGCCCCGCGCCCGCCCCCCGCGCCGCGCCTGGAGGTGACCGTCGCCCGCCGCGCCCCGCGCCCGCCCCCGCGCCGCGCCTGGAGGTGACCGTCGCCCGCCGCGCCCCGCGCCCGCCCCCCGCGCCGCGCCTGGAGGTGACCGTCGCCCGCCGCGCCCCGCGCCCGCCCCCCGCGCCGCGCCTGGAGGTGACCGTCGCCCGCCGCGCCCCGCGCCCGCCCCCCGTGCCGCGCCTGGAGGTGACCTCAGCCCACTCGCTCGTCCACGTCCACCGACGACTCCTCAACATCGACCCACAGCTCCTCCGCAGCGATCGTCGACTCCTCCATAGCGATTGTCGACTCCTGGACATCGATCGTCGGCTCCTCCGCATCTATCGACGGGTCATTTGCGCTTATCGACGCCTCGTCGTCACTCGCCGTGGAAACGATACATGTATTTATCATTTCTGTTTTCGTAGTTGATTATTATTTCAATTCTCTTAAACAATCGAGAACACAATTAGAACGAGCCTCAATATGTATAAGGTAACGAACTAATTTTAAAACGACCATTTGTTGACAAAATTTGTGTCGTGGCCTGTTTGGAGGTACCTACCTGTACCTATATGTAAGGGGTATAAAAAGCTATATTATAATAATGATATTGATTTTTCTAACGTAAATTCACATTGTTATCCGATTTTAAAAAGGATTAAGGAACTGCAGCCGTTATAGTTCGATTAAGAACCACTGCTCTAAACTTAGATATGTAGAATCGGCTGCTTATATAGACGGTGAACAACATATTCAATTGTAGCAGTCGAGATCTTGTGTCCTGTGCATTACAAAAACATCACAAGCATACTTAGTACTCGAGGATTATCAACATAACTATTTTAGTAATGTAATAGCTACGATTGTAGACTGTGATAGATAAAGCTATATATCGAATGTTGTTGCGCATGTGTTGAATAGACATGTCAGTACTATTTACGTAACTATTTTAAAAGACGCAATAGTTTATTATCTAGATAACAAAAATTATAGTGTCTGCAGAGCCTTATTTCGTCAAAATTTAATCAAACACAACAGTTAACGAGTATGTCATCTACGCAAACCCTTATTATATGTATAATAGATTACAGTATATTAAACCATTGATTAATGTACGGGGCCATCCATAAATATTATGGGTCACCAAAATATGACATTTAGTGACAAAGTATGGGAGGCGTCATAAATCGTGATTTCGCAGTTTAAAATAGTATCGAAGTTTTAAAACACAGATTTGTAAAATTAAAGAAAAACTTCAGAATATTTAAAAAAAATATAATAATAACGTTACAAACCAGAAAAATTGTCATAATTTATGAATGGCTCCTAATTAGTTAACGCACTGTGTACTCGAATACATACATAAAATGTATGTAGGAACAAAATTGCAACAAATAATATTGCTCAATAACCTCTAAAATAATTGGAATATGAAGGATATTTATAAAAAGACATTGTAATGTGTAGTTTGTATCGCACGCTTAATATTGAAAATCGTGAATTTTCTTTGGGAAATCAACATTAACGTTAAAGAATAAAGTATTGATTTCCCAAAAATTTATTATTAAGCGTGCTATGTAGGTGCTAATTGAAATGTGGTAAATTTTTCATTTTTTTATTATTTTGACAAGAGAACTGATATAAATAAACATGCAATTATTCACAATTATCTTTATTAGGTATTTAAATGTTAATTTTATAATACAAAATGAAGTCTAATTAGAGTATGAAATTTAGTAATAAATTGTAGGATTGTATCCTATCATATTAGATAATAGTGGGGCCTAGAGGTCCCATTTCTCTCATTAAAGTAATAATTTTCAAGTATACTGCTAGATTTGTAACAATGGCCTTCATACAGATAATAAGTTTATATAAAAATAATCATAAAGTATATGTAGATGTAGACAGAGTAGGATATAGCTAGATAAAGACAGTACGTGCGTTGGCGGCTTTAATATAGATACGACTAAAGATTATACAATTAGTTAAAGCAACCGCCTCATTGCCAAACTGCATGCACAAATACTCGAAAGACTTTTTAAAATTAAATCATTAGAATTTTAATTCGGTAGCTAAATAAAAGAACGTAATCGTGGCAACATTTTGGTAGCATCTGATTTGTTAGGCCATCTAGAACTAAATAAAAGATTAGAGTGTATGATGTCTTGATGTATGAATTTGATGATTGTGTAAAATGTAAAAGCGTACACAATTACTATTATCATTAACATTCGCTTAGAAATTAATTATTAATACGCTCTGACCTATTGTCTGTCCATTAGTTTTGTGTCAATAGGCACTAAAAATGGTGTTATGGCATTGATTTAAAATATTTTTACAAAGACAATTTTAAAATTATTTATTAACAAATTATGACCAAACCTGTTAATTAAACATTTTAAAATCAAAATTAACCAATTAGTATAGAACTTTTTCATCAATTATGAAGACAAACTGTGATTAAGTGAATTAACTATATATTTTTATACATTCCTGAACTACGGGTAGATGCTATGACGTCGTAATTATGTAATCACATTTCTTAGTTGCATCAGAATTAGTACTCAAGGATTAAATATATTAACAATTTTTAAATCATACTAATGTCCAAATAATAGAATCTAGTATTAAAAATAGGCTTTAAATGTAGTCTATTTTACACGATTGATTAATAATTAAATATATTTCATTTATTTTAAATATTTTTATTATCATTTACTGTCAGTATTATTACAATTTTTTGTTTTATAGTTTACAATTGTTGTTTAAAGTATGATATCTAATGGAAACACAAACTATGAATTTAATTTATTTAGGATACTTTACGTAACTGTTCTATCTTCTGATCTCGATAAGTTGTCGGTTTATTTCACTTTATATTTAGTAGTATTTCTAGTTTTAATTATTCACTGACGCTTTCAAGGCTATGAGTAATGCTAGGAGCTTTATTAACCATACAAAATTATATAAAAATGTTATACTAAGCGAACATTAAAATAAAAACAATTAAGCATCTAAACGCACATTGTTTTTATTTTTGTGATCACCACTTGTAAGGAAGGCCTAGTACCTAGTCATGTAATGTCACGAGTGAGTTTTAGTATTATGAGTGTATATTGATGATTAATTATATATTGATTTAATTTTATGTTCTGTACCTGCTTGACTTTAACGTAACCGGAATTAAGTACGGCTCTGAAGGAAAATCTAGAAAGCAATAACATTGTCTGTTATTGCTATACTCTTATATATCTATAATAATATACAAAAATATATGTTTTTGAACAAAAGAGAATTGTTTGTAAGTATTCCGTTAAATAATTCCGCCGGTCCACTCTATCAATGTATTACAAATGTTTAGTTTAATTTAATAATTTCCGGTTACGTTGGTGAAACTTAGCTCTCTATTGTGTGCAGCGAATTAAAGAAATCGTAAGCTGTGTGACGGCGCCGTCGAAATCTGAAAATAATAAACATTTGTAAACATGTTTGATGTCAATCATTGCCAACCTAACTCTTACTTTTATCCACATTGCCAGAATGAAAAATTCTTGGTAACAAGAATGCCAACCGTAGAATTTTTATACAAATGCAAGATTTTAGGACTTCGGTACAGCGACATTTTCATTTTCGTGTAAGTTTGTATGACAATTGATCTACGAAAATCGATTGCAAGATTCTCGTACAGCTGAAATTATGTTAATAGAGAATTTTTTTTTTTTTATTTCTTCTGTGTTTTTAGTTTCGCAAACATGCTTGGTTTTATTTTCTCAGATTTCGACGGTGCTCTGTCCGCCTTTACAAGTCATATATTCATCAAATAACGTGTGCATTTTTTTATATTTTGTTTACAAATATTTCAAACAATGTTGCACTCAATTTGGTAAGAATTTATCTGTAGGTAGAATCCTTAGAATATAAAGATTTTATATATTATGATTATGAGATTTATGATTTTTTTTATTGTTTTCTATTGTTTTTAAATTCAATTATGCAACTTATTTTATTGGAAATATGTAATATTTTAGTATTGAATCAATTGTTTAATTAAACATTATACAATAATGAGATTTTTTATTGTAGTAAGTAAAGATCTACTTAAAACCCATTTTACATTATCGATATGAGATTTGTTTAGTAGAGAAATGCATAAGTTTATTAAATGATTTAATAAACTTATGCATTTCTCTACTGTGGTGTCTCTAATGTGGTGGTAGCCCACTCATTCATAAACGAAATATCTCTTTTGGAAAGTACTACACTCTATCCCGAGTAGACAAAAATCATCGATCCTAAGAATATCCTTCAAATCTTATCCCTAACTCGTTTAATTAGCGAACTTAGAAAAAGGGCGGGCACAATAGTTGTGCAGGTTGCAGTGCTACAGGTCTTAGTACCTGACAATAGCCAAAACCTCAAGAAGAAAAAGTCTACCTCAGTTAAATAATCTCGGATAAATAAAATGCATATGTAAATATCTTAAAGCGTTTATTTACATTAAAGCGACATAAGACTCCACTCTGCTAGTACTTGTACTTGGCGTGTTTACTGTGTTTTCTGTGATGGTGACCTGGGGGCGTGGCCGGCGAACGTGCACGTCTTCGTTCTCTTTCTCTCTCACGATCCCTCTCCCTTTCTTTTTCTCGTTCCCGTTCCCGTTCTCGTTCTCTCTCACGTGAACGATCGCGTTCCCTGTCTCTTTCTCGAGATCTTGAACGTGACCGTGATTTTCGATCTCTGAAAGAAATGAAATAATCTTTATTCAAATAAACTTAATATAAGCACTTTTGAATAGTCATATTTTTTGGTTCTACCACTCATTCGTAACGCAAGAAATTACAAACTAATATTTTACTTCTCACTGAACTAGTATTTTATTACTATTCCAATGCCATAGGCCGTAGGCTCTATGTTATATTTCATCTTTAATCTAGAAATTGGGGTGAGTACTACAAATATATATTAATACATTATTTTCGGATGATAAATTTGAATCCTAAATTACGCTTTGTACTCACTCTCACCATATTGTTTTTCAGTATTCCTAGATATCATTTATGTTGAACTTTATGATAATTTATTAAACATAAATATGTGAGTTTCTTATCAATAAACAGCTTTAATAAACAAATTGGATAAGTGACATTTTAAAATGTTTAATTCGTAGTAAACTCAATTTTGTTCTTTTAAATACACACAGATACGATGTTAAAGTAATTAAATACGTACACATATCGCGATCGTTTAGGTGGCGGAGATAACGATGGTTCACGTGACTTCTTTGATTTCTTTGAAGATGTTCTGTGAAAATAATTTATAAAACTTTAACTTTTTTTAAAGTAACTATAACATGTTTAATTTGGAACTGGTTTTAAAGAGTCATATAATAATTATATATGTAATATTCAACGGTACGTACGTAGAGTATGTATCCTCATCTGGCGAACGTCGCCGCGGCTCCGGGGACTCTCTGGCTTCTTCTAAAGCCTCCTTCGCTTCACGAGCCGCCTGTTTTATACACATAAGATAATCATATTAAATATTTAATCCATACAGTAGACATAGTACGGGATGTACCGCTCGATAGAAAACTGAATTTGTAACTGGTAATGAATATCGCAATTCACACAGCGTTATCTATTCTGAAGCTAAGCTGAACTTATGATAGGTGTACTAGACGACAGATATAATTTGTAACTACATACATAATATGCCTAGAACACACCCAGACCAACACAATCATATCATGTATACAAATATTTGAGTGCGAGGAATCGAACCTGTTACCATCGAAAATAGGTGGTGTGCTAAACCGCAAGACCACCGAGGCCGTCATACTTAGTGCATTACTAGGGTAGCCAAAAATAAAATTAATTTAAATGTATTTTCAAATTGTTTCGGTAATGAAATACAATTTCTATCAACGAAGAATGTATTTCTTTAGTTTCTTTAGTATTTTGAAGTATACGTAATCTCGCATTGAATTAGTTTGTTATGTATTTATATGCAAAGTTTAAATCATCAGCCCACAGCAGTCCACTGCTGGACATACGGCTCTTCCAAGGCAGGATCTTCAGTCCTTCTCTTCCAGTTTCACCAACCCTACGTACGTCGTCACTCACCTGCGAGTATTACGATACGTTTGCTACTTTCCGGAGTGTACTCTAGAACATGTCTAGTATAGTAAGGCAGTACCTTCCGTATGAGCTTGCGGCGATAGTGGTGTAGCTGCTGGTGCGCGGCGAGCCCGGGCCGCCGCGCGCGCACTCCCGCCTCCAGCTCGTCGGCGTACTTCAGCACGCGTACTTCGATCTCGCGCAGAGTCTCCCGCTTTAGGGACAGCTCCTCGCTGCCCAACACAAACAAGCGCTCACTAAACATCACTCATCTTACATTATCTTTACTATAGCTCCATCTGCGAGAAGTCCCGTAATTGGTCTCACAAACGATGTGTTAATATGCATGTTAAAGCGGAATTAAAAAGCATATTTGAGCAGAATGGTGTCAATTTCGAAATGATGAGATACCATTTAGAAATACATCATAATCACATTACTGGCTTCATTTAACTATTTGACATTAACAAATTTGAAATTAACAAATATATGAGTAATATTTTTCAAGAAATCACATGAATAAACATTTTTTAAAGCATTGAGATTTTTTAAATTGTCTAGCAATTTGTTCTAAATATGACACGATATAATACGATCGTCATACAATATATTTACCATATGTATGTATACATGTACACAAACGATGTTAATTTTTTGAATAAATGGTCAATTTCTGTCTAGGGTTTTGAATTTTTTAATTCTTTAGAGTTTTTTATATAAGTATGTTTTCTATGTTATTGTCGTCTCTGGGACGTTCGAGCGCGTGTGGACATGTCGGGGCGGGTGCGCGCGTGTACTCACGAGTCGGCGAGGGGCGGCGGCGCGGGCGGCTGGCGGTGGGCGGGCGGGTCCCGCGGCGGCGTGGAGGGCGGCGCCCACTGCGGCGCGGGCTCGGGCTCCGGCTCCGGCTCCACGCTCTCCCAGCGGGACGGCACGAACGCGCCGCCGCCGCCCGCGCCCGCGCCGCCCTCTACCTCCGCCTCGCCCTCCAGCGGCACGCCGTCTATGTCCTCGTCCACTGCCGACCACATTTACCATTGTTACAGTTCACAATTATGTTGCATATACATTAATTTTATTTTACAATGTCATATAGTTGCTATGTTACTCATATTATGTAACACAACGTAATTTTAATAATTTAATTTTAATTTTAAGTATAAATTCGGCTCGTTCAAGTATCAAAATATTCTAACTAAAGCTTGAGATGGAGATGGGAACGACGACTAATAAAATATTTGTTTAATTGTCACTGAATGTTTATAGCTAATGAATAAGGGCTGATGCTGCCGGTCCTCACTGTATTAAGCATAAGCAAGATATGTATATTTTGCACTTATAAATTAAATACTAATAAGAATTTAACTAAATATACTGCCAGTTTCTCTCGACTGATATTTAACGATACCGACGACTGATTTGACTCATTAAACTGTCTGTAAGATATGAGTATGGGCAGTACCTGGCACGCCGTCGATGTCGGTGTCGTGGGCGGCCACCGGGGTGGGCGGCGCGTGTTGGGCGGGCGGCTGCGAGGGGCGGGCAGGAGGCGCGTGGCGACGTTCGGCGGCCAGGCGTCGTAGTGCGGCGCCGTCTAGCGCGCCGCCCTCCCACGACTCGGAGGAGGACGAGCGTGCGGGGGACGCCGCAGCCGAGCCCTCCCCCGCCTCCCCCTCTGGTCCGTCTCCACCTTCCGCCGGTACGGGCTCCTCCTGGGGGAGATATTGCGTTAGATATCTATACGAGACCGAGGACTCATGGAGTTCCAACATAGGTATACATATTTTGCGAAAGAGCGAAGACTAGGTTTTATATAATAAAGCTGGAACTTTACTTCACAGGTTACTTACCTTATCGATGCCGAGAAATACGTCGTTAATATGCATGAGGAAATCAGTGGGGTACACGGCCCAATCGGCCCAGGCCTGTAGGATGCGTGTGACGCGAGCGCGGAAGCCTTCCTGCTGCAGCCGCGATGGCATCTGCGTGTACGCCAAGTGACACGCGCGCATGATCTCCACCAGGCGCTGCTGGAACCTGTATCATATACTTTTTACTTAGCCAGGCATTTACGAAAACTATATTTGTAAGTCGACTTTCACAAATTTCAGAAAGAGTAGACGGACAGATGGAGCTACAGGCGGTACGTACGCGGTCGCGGGAGAGGCTGGCATCGTACAGGGGGAGGAGGGGACGGTACGTATACGGCGTGCTAGAGGCTAGAGTCGTATAAGGGGTGGAGATAGCGGTACGTACGCGGCGCGGTAGGCGCTGGCGTGCGTGAGCTTGGCGCCGGCGTTGTGCAGGATGTCGGAGAGCAGGTAGAGGCGCGCGACGCGGCGCGGCGGCGCGGTGTGCGGGCCGGCGAGCGCCTCGGCGAGGCAGGCGGCCACCTCGGGCGCCGCCTCCGCGTGCTCGAGGCACCACGCCATGGCGGCCGCCACGCTGCCCCGCGCCGGCGTCAGCCCCCGCACCAGCTCCTCCAGCCGGTCGCGCTGACTGCCGCCAGACATTATTTATGTTTAATACGTTACGAGTACTTCGAATTATGTCTACGTTTGTTCGGATTTGCTTTGTTTAATGCTAGATTTTATGTGTAATATTATGAAATATTCGTTGTATTTTTCCTATATTCTTATTTACCTATATAATATAAAAATCATGTCATCAACGCGATGCATGAAAAGGAAAGAATAAATTCATAAAATAAAATGGATACATGAGTCTTTATCTTATTATATTATGCTATCTGTCATTAATGTCACCAGAAGCGATGTATGTATGTAAACTATTTACGTACTGCTCAAATTATAAACAATATTACACTTTAATAAAAATGCGAAAAATCTCAATAAAGTAATACATAATACTAAATGAACGGAACGCGAAGCGCAGAGCGATCTTAGAGATCATATTTGCACTCTTTGTAACGGTACTCCTCCGAAACGACTTAACCGATCGAGGGCTAAATTTCACTGAAGTTCGATCAACAGGCCTCCATCGTTTACCACTCAAAAAAATTCCGATAGGTCAATGTTGAATTTTTAAAATTAACCTATATATACCTATATACTACCATTAACCTAGTAATGTAACATGCTCAGGCATTTTATGTACCTATGTCATAATAAAATGGTCTATATTTACATACAAATACAGTAGTACGTACTTGTTGGAGAGCGTGCCCCGTATATTATCCTTGGCGTCCTCTTCCTCGACGAGTTCGTCGGGCATGCCCGCCGTGTACAGATTCATCACCGGCGGCCTCCAAACAGAACCACCTACAAGTAATATATTACTTGCTGAATACAATTATTTTAAGAGCAACATATATTGAAAATTTTAAAATCAGTGTTTTTTTCTTTGAACAATGTTCAATGCTGAGCCTCGACTTTTTTGTATTGCTGCGGATCACACATAATTGCACAAACTTGTAAACCTTATGCCGTACTATATATTGTCTATATTTATGAACATGTAATTGTGTGTGATTAGTAACAACCAAATAAACTATATATCACACAGGGACATAGTTCACAGCAACTCAGTCCCTACAAGCTATTATGGATTAAAACACGTTTACACATAAAGATCATGTTTTAATGTGATGGCTCATATTGTTGCGTACACAGACTAAATATATTTAATTAAGTACAAATAATTAACTTTTTTGATAAAAAGCTATGATAGTTTTTTTTCTTTAATGCTCCTAAAAATTTACCTATTTGAGGAGAACATAAAAACAAATATATACCTTTAAACATCCTAAAATCTTCCAAGGACCACTGTTTGGGCGAGTCACCCTGCAGCATGGAGAACAGCTTCCATCGGTAATACACGTGCGCCGGCGACTGATTCTCGAACAGGAAGCGGAAGAACGGGTTGTTCATCTCCTTATTCATGATGATCGCCTCGAACATCGGTCCCTCACGAATCACGAACTCCACCATGCGGTGGATCAGCATCAATATGTTTCTGGGATATTTTTTTAAATGAGAATTCCAAGATTTGTTTATTTTTAATCTATCATATTTATCCAGTTATGACGATGTTCAACATACATATTATATAGGAGGTGAAACTACTATTGCAACTCGGGGCAATATTAATAACGTATATATATATATATATATACGTAGATACGTATAACGCATATATGTACGTAGAAGAAGTATTATTATTTATTTGTAATATCACTATACATTTTTTATGTTTTATTGCTAAACTTTCTGTCTTCTCTCCTAACAATCCTTTGGGTCTACCCAAATGTTGTCTGGAAGAGATTGCTTATGTGATAACCCCTTTTAGTACCTTATTATTACTCTAATTTACTTCTGGCGCAATAGGTAATAAATATAAAGTTCTTACCTTTCTGTTGGTACTACGACTCTGACAATAGACTGAGATAATATCTGAAATAAAAACACATAAATAAAATACTACAATAGCAAATATAATAAATCCAACGACTACCTAACTACTTACTACTGTACTTAAGCTATTGATGTAAATTATCTTTCTCTTTTTCTATTGAACATGCAAACCAATCATAATGGAATAGAAATTTTGAAACGACAACATTCCGTTCTGTCACCGACGCCCCTGATCATGCAATGCAAAAGGTGATCGAAATTACGACGGCCTGAGCCGTGGTTCTAACTCCTGGACTAAAGTCGTATCCTTCCTGCAGGAGTTGGGTTTCAGAGGCTCCATAACTCTTTCCGCAGCTTTGGAGTGCTTCTACACTCTATCATTTAATGAAGCTGTAAAGGCCTTTGCGGCTAATAGTATTAGAATATTCCGAAAAAAAAGTTCGCTTAGCATCCTCCTATATATTATTATATACATATCATATACATTATAAACATATCATAATACCTGTTCATAAGCCTGCTGATCTTCAGGATCACTAGGATAATATTCACCAGGCCGAATACGCGGAATCTGCACACAGTTAAATCTTATTAGATTACTAAATACATACAGTCAGAAATATTTATTGTCACACAAACTTTCATATTCTCATAATTAAATATATACAATAGAAATAAGATAAAACTATAATTAATTAAGCATACCTTACGTTATCAAAAATTCACATTTAGTATAATACTAATACTACTAACTTGATATACTAATACAGTTTAGTATTAAATGATCTAATTATTCTAATAAATAAATGATATATTGTATATTGGTCTCTGTTGTCCGCATTAGGCTCTTATTTGGGCGGCTGTGCGTGTAGTGTATATGATATATAGGTACCCTGTTGATGAGATGTTTGGGGGGCTGCGCGTTGAACGGTAGTCCGGAGGGAGGTGGCGGCTTGCTAGGTTGCTGTAGAGCCGGTGGAATGTAAATCGGCACGGGGGGTATCACCACCGCCTTCCCCCATCCCAATTTCATTTCGTAATTCATTATCTCTTTACCTGGAAATAAGCATAATTAAAATGCAGTATTTTTATTGTCAATGCTACTTCTATGTTGATTAGGTGAATTGTTGTAAGAAGGTTAAGATGTATTGCTTGTGAAATTAGTAGGCATCATAGAATAAAAATTTAGATTAACTACGTGCGAGAGATGTTTCGTTACACAATCGATAACATATAAAAGAAAATTGGTTATAGAACAGAAGAGAAATAATATAATCTATATTCAAATTAATTTAATATAAGCACTTTTAAATAGCACGCTTTATGTTGCTTAAGATATATTCATAATGCAGATTTTATAGTAGAAAATATCTGTGACTCTTTCAAAATAAAAATGTATTTAATTTCACAAGTTTCATATGTCGTAGGAATAGCACAGAAAACAAAGACACACAACAAGATGAACAAGATGTTTCGATTGTACTTTACTATAAACTAAACCTTAAAAATCACTAGAAACAAAATCCTAGTGGTACTATAAAGCAAAGTTATTCGTGAATGCAAGGGTTTATTGGTAGGTTCCACTTCAGGTAAAGAAATATAATATAAAATATAGTATAATATATATATATATATATATATATATAAAACAAAACTATAGCGCTATGTAATTTTAGGACAACGCCATCTATTGATATATCATGATAACAATATTATACTATTTATAAGTTGTCTTTTTAAACTCTCATAAGGTTTTACCGTTTATACACCTGAGCGCCCGCTCCCCGTCCTTGCGAGACATGAAGGCGACGAATCCACAGTTCCGTCCGCGCGCCTTCTCCTCGTCTGAGCGCGGCCACATTATCTTGATGCTGGCCAGAGGACCATAGCGGCCGAATATCTCCATCAGCTGCTGTTCTGTTATCTGCATATTAAATAAGTAATAAAATTTTTACTCGACAACCCCCTTCGCCTCTAAGAATGAAAATTAGAGACATTTTCATAATAATTATAAATTAATCAAACTATTATAAAAAAAATCTATATTTATCTCCGCTTGTGCACGTAAATAATCTTTACTGTCTCATAATTGCTTTAGCCGATTTTACAGTGAGATGTTGTTACAGTGATTGTTGTGAGTGAGATGTTACAGTGTGTATTATAGCAAGTTTTTCGTAACATTTAGGACACTACTATACTTCCAATAGTCGCGGGTTCAATTCCTCGCAAGACTAAACATTTGTATTCATGAGTATGATTATTTGCATCTGTCTGAGTTGGTTCCATGTATTTACAAATAAAATGTATTTATATCATTTGTCTAATACCCACAACAGAAGCTTCTTTTAGGTTGGGACTAGATGACGCTATGTGTATTGTACAGGATTGCTATGTTACTGGTATCATTAGTAATATAATAATGCAATAACGATTCTCAATCATATATATATTACCTTTGGATTCAAATTGCCTAAATATAGGTTGGTAGTGTTGGGGTCACCAGTGTCGTAGGAGCCCACGTCGGGCATCACGTCCACCACAGGCTCCACGCCCACCACGCCGCGCTCGCGCAACACATTCTTGTACTTGTGACGTTCTGAACGCTCCTCTTGTATCCTATAAAGTTATTGTGGTTTGAGACATCTGCTGTTCAGGTGAACATGGTAACTAAAATAAAAGGCTAATGATTGACTTGAATCTAAGTAACAGGAAGATGCAGGTTCAGGTTCATGGACTCAGGGCAAGCTTGGTCATAAGGTCATGGGGTGAGGAATAGGCGACCGCAAGATACGAGGTAATTACTTCGGAAACTCCATGATGGGTTAATTCGGATGCCCACGTTTAAAAAATAAGCATATTTTTTTATACTATTTCAAGACTTTACATTTATTTTACAAATTTTTAATTATCTAAAGATGCTCCTCGAGTGATTAATAATAATAAACAAAAATATATTTTATACCATCTAAAGGCTAGGCGACAGATAATGAAACTAGGTTTAGATTATTGTCAAAGAATGGTCAAATCAATATGCATCTAGTATTGTATAGATTAAAAAGATTTTCATCTCATCAATCTGCTCTTTGGTATTTTGGCAATGTGTTCCCTAATCTCATACTTACTGTCGTAGTTCTTCCTTAAATAATTCCAGGTTACTTTTCTTCTTGTCTTGTCCCTTCTGTTTGGAGCGCGGCCTCCCGGGAGGATCTGGTCGCTGTGCGAGATTTCTCATCATATCAGCTTCAGATCCGCCACGCTTCTCCTCCAAACGTGACACAGGCTTGTATAATTTGCCTCGCTCTGAAGTGTCTTCCTCTGAAAGTAATATAATTTTGTATATATAGTTCAGCTTTGGAAAATATCTCCAATACTAATATTATAAAGAGGTATAATTCGTGACTTGGCAAGCTGGTAGGGGGTAATCTCTGGATCTACTTAACCAATCTAGAAAATTATTTTAGTATTGGATATATTTATGGAGAAAGGCTATATGACAACATGCTATATCAATAAAGTAAAACAAACATACTATTAAGACTATTATCCCAAATGGGATAGTTAGAAACATTATGTTGATACTATGATTAATGAAAACTTGACATACCCACAGTTCAGTAAGTAACATACTGAACTGTGGGATGCCAAGTGTATATGCTATTTATAACATTATACCTTTACTAGATATGGAAAAATGTTAAAGCACTTTATATGGCATGATGCGCTTATGAATATTATTATTAAAAAAAAAATAGAAGAAAAGTGGGGAAGAGAATATGTCACAATTACATCAAGCAGATTAAAGAAATTGGAAGAGGATTGTGGGAAATGGCAAGTGCTCCAAGAGCAAACTAACAAGAGTGTGGCTCTTAAATTATGAATGAATGAACTTCTACTAGGTGATGTTGTTACATATGGCTAGTCATAAAATGTATACTAAACTGAAATAGAAGTCATGAATCAGAACAACAATATCCTCATGGAAGCAAAGTAGAAAATCGAAAATTAATTTAATTAATTATTTTTTAACACATTTCTACATACTACATACTTAATCATGAGATCAATTTAGTATAAAATTTATTTTCATATACACATCTTTCATATTTCACTTTGTTGGTTAAATTGATTCAGTTTTCTTGTACATAAGTTATTATTTTACTACTTAACCTGTAGATCCATAAACAAAAGACAATACTTAAATAAAATATAATAGCAAATACTTACTTCTAGCTCCTGCATCATAAGTGCCTGCCTTGACCCACACTTTAGAAGTACTGCTGGGTACTTCTTGAAACGTCTCCACAAATTCTTTGAAGACCTGGAAATTTATTATTACTATTATAACAACAACATTTACACATAATATATTTTTATAGGAAAGAAGAATCATCTGGCTTGTGCCAGAATGTAGTGTGATATAATTTACTGTATATACAAATATGACTAGTAAAATCAAATTCATTTATAAAGTAGCAATCAAATCAGATTCACACTGGTGTATGTCATAAACTGGTGTGTGGTCATAGAACAATATGTGCCTTTCAGAAGAATACTTAAAATGATAATGAAAACTGTAATAATTCATTGTGTAGTTTAGAAAAAGTAAATAGAGAAACAAACAGAAGAAAGCAGGGATTTTATGCTTTTCTATGAATATTTAAGATGTTACTTCATGTTACCTATTAATTGATTTACATAGTTCTGATACAAAGTTTGACAATAATATTAAGTAAAATTAATGTTACAACCAATAGCACCAACATCTAGCCCTTATTGATAGTAGATTACTGTCTAGAAAATAAATTAGTACATTAAAATAGACCTACATGTAGTTATTTGATTTTAAATCGAAATAAAAACAACATATTTTTTACTTACATGTGCCGCCGCTTCTTCCTCTTCCTTCTTTCTTAGTTCCTCCAATTCTTTTTTTGATAATCCTCTTGTGCCCATTTTTGCTGCAAAAGAGCTAAAGCGTCGGTAACTAATGAATTATGCCCAAATTCAGAGGCCGAAGCTATTTTGCTTAAATAGTGCGCATTCTATGTATTCATACCAGCACTTGTAGCAGTTAATGTCCTGAATATCAGAAAATTTTGAATATATTCACATAATTACTATAATAATGTATTAATATTTAATTAAAATGAAAAACATAATAATAAAGTAACCTCAAAAGAATACGCGTACAGGAATTAAATGTCAGTAGCTGACTGACATTATACTTTAACATTGACATTTAGTTAATATTTGACATTGATCATGTAATCACTATGTCAATATAAATTTTAAATTTTATTAATATATTAATGTTATTTACATAAAACTAAAAACCACACTATGTTAATATTTGACAACAGTATTGGAATGAATTAATGACGGATCATCCGCACACCCTAGGGAGGTGAAGGTTGGGGTTGCTGGTCGGAAAACCTCCTCGTATGTTCTAGCATTCTTAAGTCCCCTATCCCCATGGACACGTTTGCGGGGAACGGTGGCTGAGCAATGTTTGGTTCTGGTGTGTCACAGGCATTCAGCCTGAGGCACACTAGAACCAAACAATGCTTTCGCGTTAATAATGCCTTCAGATTATCATTAACATAGTGGCCAATAGTCCAACGAAAGGGGGCTGGGAGTCTGGGACAGTGAGCCCAGGTGGGGCTCGTCCCGGCCGTTGGAGTCGCGGTTGATTGAACTTGTTCCCGCGACCCTGGCACTACGGTGGCGAGGAGGAATACCTCGGAGTTTTTGGTGACTCTCACAATACCCGTCCGTCCAACCCCATAGATGGACGGGTCTCCATGAGGAATTTTCCCCAACGTTAAAAAAAGCTGAATGTTGGGGCCTCGGGGCGAATTCCTTTGTCATTTACTCCGGGGCAACGACTCCGAAGTGGCTGGATTTAAGCCTTTTAGGCGAGTAATATAATTAGAATAACTTAATCTAAGTTATGAAGTAGTAGTCTTTTTTTGTTTTGTGGTCGTCACAATTCAAATTAAAAGAACTTTTTACTTGTCATTATCACTTTGCCTTAATACAATTATATTACTGGGTAGTAGGTATGTAAAACTTATATATAAATATATATATATATCCTCGTAATTAGTTTAGAAATTAATTCTATTGTGTAGACAAAATAAATTTCGTACATTACCAAATAAAATAAAAAGTAGGACAGAAATTAAAATGCATATATTTTTTGATTACATATTTATTGAAAAAGTATACATCAAAAAGATTTCGATGTAAAATGAAATAAAAAGTGTGTGCGATTTTTTTTATCTGCAGAAAGTTCTTGTAAAACTTGGGCCGCTGCAACAATATTTTGACCTATAAGCGGCTATAATAGTTTCGTCACATGTAACATATAATAAATAGTAACTAAGTAACAGGATTAGTTTACAGCCAAGTGGTCAGTACTTAGACAATCTCCACTGTTGTGTGTGCATGGAAAAGAAAACTAGAATAAAATAAGGTAGCCTCTGCAAACGTTATAATACATTAAAATGGGTAATTGTACTTATATCTTCGCCAAAATAGGCCATTGATAATATACCTATTGGCTGTAAATTCACTGTTCCGTCTTTTATTTTGTTCTATTCATTATTTCACCTCGTTTATTTCCATTTAATACTTACGTTACATAAATAATACAACTTTATAGAAATGAAAACAATCATTTAGAATAATAATGCATTGTAAAATTAGTAAATATTAATTTATATGACCTCGGTACAAATAACAAGCTGAGATAAAAATACAAATGTATTACAGACAAACTTGGTGATAATATTTTTATTCAAAGTTCAATTTCATGAGTAAATATTGAAAATAGCTATAACATTATAAAAATCACCATGAATGTTAACAGTATATAAGTATTTGTATATGTACAGTCATTTACAAATGTTATCACAAAATATCAAAATGACGTGTAGAAGTTTAGTAAAAGCACATTCGTAATTCCTATTTCAGACTTTACTGCCAAAAAAAAGTTTCCATTGTCTATGGCTCGTTGCTTACACCGAGGTGTTAAAATACTTTTGTGCATTATAAAGCTATTATACAAGTAAACATGCCACATAATTTACACACCTATTTACTGTACAACAAAACAAATGTACATTGTCATAGAGTAGTCATCATAAGACATGTGTATTGGCCCGTAGCTGCCTGTGTGGCAGCCAGCACGACGACAGAGTCAATGAAACACGTAACAAATTGATACTAATAAAGACTTAAATACTCAAGATTATCCTTAACATCACATACAAATTTGACGGCAATTAAAATGGTGATGTCGAATTCATCGATATATAAACGACCCAAGATGCACAATAAAATGCATTAGTATCTCTATGAAAGAGTATAGTAATTATAGAAGACCGTAGTTTGTTGTACAACGCACCTAGCAATAATGAAAATGAACGCAATAAATTCTGCGCACATTTTGGACTAGTAATTTCTTAAATCTGTCAAGTGTTCTTACAAATACTGCAAAAATATAAATATATTGTCTATGTATTATTCGTAAATATTTATACTTTTTTTTAATATGAATACGGGATTTACGGGTTCGCGGATGATTTTTTAAATTCCTCAACCAACTATTCCATCATTATTAGCTGTATACTTTTGAGCTAAACGTGCATCTTGTTTTGTTTCATCAATGTGTCGATTCATATATGTTTTGTAGGAGTTATTTCATATTAGCACAGTTACTTTATAGTAAGACTGACTTGACTTCCTTATACATAGGTATTTGCACTATAAAAGCGAAAATTATTAATATTATCTAATATACATATATATCGCTAATATGAAATAATCCCATATTTTGTGAAATATAGTCTGTAGGAAGTTATATTATAATGTAATATGAAACGAGTTACTATTATATTTGAGGAGGCGTTTGTATATGAGTAACCTCATGTAAACACAAGTTTACACTTGCACATTTAATCTCAATATGAAACTATTTGTGACAACAAACCTGTGCGGCGTCTATTGAAATATTTCTTCTAAAACAGTTACGTCAAAGGCACAGAACAAACGGTCATGTATGTTTAAATAATGAATATTATGAAACAAAACGTAAACTGTTAACAATATCCATTATTTAATTAACTTATCGAAACGTTAACTCATTTTATATTTGCATCAAATATACCTCTTCAGAATTGACAAACACTAACTCTATTATTCATAAAAAATATTACCTTCTACCTACATAATTTCACAATTACAGTGTTTTGTCCCTTTCTTTCAACTGAAGAAAATAGCTGGAGTAAAAGGGACGACAGAATTCAACAGCTAAAAGACGTTTGGACTTTTTATGAATAAGAAAGTAAAATGTTTGTCGCCATGAAAGAGCAAGAAACTATGTAATAAATGGAACATCCACTATGGCGAATATTTAAACTAAGTAATTTATGATAACAATCTAACGAAGATATGTGTAAGCATATACATAGAATAATTGCTCTGTGGTACTGGGCTGAAACCAGACAACACCGCTTCCACACATTGGCTGGACTTGTAAATCTATACTATATGGGTATTCTCCTTCATCCTTGTCTTGAACATAAAATAGACAGTATTTAACATTGACATACTACCACATTCTGGAAAAATTAAAGCGAAATATATTTGAATTTAAATCATATGTTCATGACAGTATTGTTTAAACTAGATTGCATCAAACAATCTGGAGTTCAACATAAAGTTTAACAGTCTAGAAGGAAGTTCTAGATTCTAGTGCAAATTGTTAGTGGAAATGAGTTAACATATAATTAAATTAAAATACTACATTCAGAAACAGATGAATTCTTTTTGCATTACAATTTGAACAATTTTAGAGCTATTTCCACGAATTGGTGGTATATCAATTGATGCTACAATTTTTAGATTAACTGCATTATTTCAAAATTAAAAATCATGCGTTACTTCCAACGCGCGGAGCGGAGCATTTCCAACAAATAATAGAACATTATAATGATATATGATATTATAATTTCATAATATAGAATCATTTTAAATTCAGTTTTGAAGGCCACAGGCGGAGAATTTTCTAGACCCCGTGTGTCAACGACCGCGGGCCTACCGCCACTAATACATTAATGGTACATTCACTACACAGTTGCGTTACAATAACTTGACGGATTCTGACATTTACATTGATATGTAAACAATTTGAGTGCTGATTCTGACAATGGACTGATCAATACTAAAAAACGTTACCAAGATCGAAAAGAAAGTAGAGAAAAGTTATGATACTTCCCAAACGTCACATATATTTATCTGTTAGATGTATTTTTACTGTAATCAGAAGTAATAACAATCGGACGGCCTGCCTGATGGTAAGTGGTAACTATCACTGTAGATACCTGTGTACCCACACAGTTATGTATGTATTTATATGAACACCGGCATCTTTATGTTATATTTATCATGTAACGCCCGTGGTATCACCTGATAAATATACTACTCTTGCCATTCCAGAGGAATAAGATGTCTCCTATCCTGTAATTGAGTAAAATTCCATCTTAGTCAGGCAGTGGTCTTATCTGAAACTTCATCAGAAACAGTTCACAAAGCAAGCGACTGAATTAGATATGAGGTTGAGGTAAACACACAGTTTTATGATATACCTAGGCCTAAGAGTACATACATACATACATATATATATATATATATATGTCGTCAAGTTAATGTAATGTCAGTGTAGTAGATAGTTACCTCCAACATCAACAATAATGAATTACATACATACACCGCTACCGTCAATAATATTACAGAATTACAAAAAACACTATTAAATATATCAAATGCACGTTTTCAGGCAAAATCCAATATTATATTGTACTATACGTTAAGGTGGATTTAAACCAAGCAACTCACTTATATGTTTGTTAACTGGCAGTTATTTTCATTATTGTAACTATAGTTAGAATAACTGATAGTTTTGTACGTACTTTATCCACAATTACAATAGATGTGTTTCTTTATCATCACTCTATAATATATTTCCTGTCACTCCAAAAAAATGATAATGCTATCAAATATGACAGGACCAACTAGATGCCTCATTCTTGTGTCACAAAATGTTTTTAAGGCTTTTTTACTTTTGCTTCTTTTTAGCTACTGACGTATATAGTCCAAATCCACCTATAAATATCGATAACTAATAATGGAATTGTGTAATCTATAAATCTAAATAATAATAATTAAAGTTGTACTTGTATAATACGATTCCATTAATAGGTTCCCTATTAAAATAAATTTTGAAATACAATATACATTGAATATAATATAAAATTCTGTACTAATGCTAATACTTCTTGGCTATTCAACGGAACTGTCCTCTCGGCCGGGCAGTAAAATTACCTAACTTCTTTTTAAAATTTACATCTTCATATATTGTACATGTAATATAAGGTCCCGTGCAGACCAGACATTTCCGTGAAATGTGAACGAAGCTTAACAATATTGTGAATAGTAAAATCCTTCAACATATACTGTACAGAGTTTTCAAAATAGTCACTTTAAGTGAATCATATTATAATTAACAGGGCTCGCCGGATTTGTAAATTGTACTAATACGCGAATATTACGTCATCCGCGTTATATAGGTACAGTTTTTTATGGTGAGAAAAAACTTCTAAAGAACGTTCTCCAGCTCGAGAGATGACGAAGGGGTGTGTAGGTACCTTGCTGCTATTTATATGAAATTATTATAATACTAGATATATCCTCCGGCGCTAACCGCATCGAATACTGCTTACTTTCGATGGTCGCGGGATCGATTCAAAATTTTGTATTTACGACTATAATTATATGTATTAGTCTGGGTGTTTTCTATGAATGTATTTGAAAAAATAAAAGTATTTCTATTGGTTCAATAGAAATACTTTTTTTTTACACAAGCTGTGTTTAGCTTGGTACTAGATGGCGTTGTTTATTATTATTATAATATGATTCCTATATTGTGGCTATTTCTTTCCAGTAGTATTACGATCATGGACAGAATGCCTCATTGGTTAGTTTGTTCATTATCACATACATCGCGCCTTAAGATCTCTTCATTAACATTCACCGCAGAACATTTCTCTAATTACATGAACTGTAAATACCAATTTACATTACGAAACCAGTAGTATAAAAATAGTTTCACATTTATTTCAATTTCGTATTACAAAAGCTTTGAAACGGGCGGAGTTTTCAATTGTCATTTATTGTTACATTAGTTTCATAATGTAAATTCGGCTTCAACATTAATATAAAACAAGCAATTATTAGTGAATAGATACTGTTGTTTTTGTAAACAAAACTGAATTAGAATTTCATCTATTTATATATAACCATATAGAAGAGTCACTAAGAAGAAATTAGGTAAGGGGATACGGCGTTTTGTCTATTGTCTATGGGTATGTGGACATAATTGCTATGTTATACAAATCAGTGAACCCATCTCGTTCGTGTATGAAAACAGTTCTTCAGGCTGTCTTGTAAAACTCCAACTGGCCTATCAGTAATGTTATACCACTGAACTGTATCAATTATAATTCTTTACACACATTGTGATTTTGAACCCGTATAAAATTTCTTTTGCTTAATCACAAATTCTACGTTAGCGTAAAAGGTCACACTGCGTATGTTTGTCCGTGTCGAGTTGTGCATAGATTGGTGCGAGTCGACGGGGCCGTGGGGGCATCGGGGGCAGGGGGGGCTCCGGGGGCAGTGGGGGCGGAAGGGACGTGCTCAGGCGTCCGTCTCACCGCCTTTCAGCCGCAGCCGCGCGAAGTCTTCAAATATTATATCGTCATCTTGTTCTTGACCATTCTCGTCCCTGTGTTATCAATTTCATGTTATTTACTAGCCATAAACATAAAAAATATGTATATATGACGATATTTTATTCATATGAGACACCGAAATAAGTGAATAAAAACTTATTTACGTTATAGTTTTTTATCACTTACTCTACCGTAGGTTGAATGCCTACTTTAGTTATAAAGAAGTGGAAAGAAACTCAAACTGATATCGTTTATAAAATCTTTTGTCTAATCAGTTTTTTAAATAAAATAATATATCCTATAGAATAGAATAGAATAGAAAATTATTTAAAGATAACTTAATTTAAGCACTTTCGAGTAGTCATACTGATGTTTTTAATCTACCGCTCATACTGCAATCTGTATCATCACAAGAACCAGCAAGAAATTTGCGTTTTGTTCGTTTAATAATTGTAACTTTACATTTTTAAGTTTAAATTGGTGAATACAAACTACCAACTAGCATTAATTCATTAGAGTCAAATAGTGTATACGTTTTACAATAAAGGAAATATATGCTGAAATTTTTCCTGAATCAAAAGTTAATGTAATTGTGGTGCCAAGACGCGTTGAGCAGGAAGTATGGTATGTAATGAAGGTACTGGCGGATGTAGGTCGAGCTATATGTAATTCCGGCTGAATCTATAATTAATTTAAATAAGGTGGGAAACCACTTTGAGCAGTTAGTATGGTATGTGGTGAGGGTACTGGCGGATGCAGGTCGAGATGTATGTAATTCCGCCTAAATTTATAGTTAATTAAATTGTGGCGCGAGGCCACGTTGAGCAGTTAGTATAGTTATAGCATGTGGTGCGGTACTGACGGATGTATGTCGAGCTGTATGTAATTCCGCCTGAATCTATGGTTAATATAATTGTGACGCGAAACCGCGTTGAGCAGTTAGTATGGTTATGGTATGTGGTGAGGGTACCGACAGATGCAGGTCCGGCTGTATGTAATTTCGCTTGAATCTATAATTAATACAATTGTAGATCGAAGCCGTGTTAAGCAGTTAGTATAGTTATGGTACGTAGTGTGATACTGACGGATGCAGGTCGAGTTGTATGAGGTCGTGGTCGACGCGCGGCGGCTCGGGCAGCGGCCGCACCGACTCCTCCTCCGGCTTCGGATGCATCAGGATGAACGGTAGCTCCGCGCTCAGGTCCCTGCAAGACAACACACACTCGCTATACTAATGTCCTTATAAAAATGGTATGTGACCTACCAAACATTTTACCGACAGACAACGCTACTTTATATAGGTTTTAATAATTCTTGACAAGTTATTTTTAACAAGTTAATTAGTATTATATAAAGGATAGATTTGTTTTAATTTTGTTTATTGTTTGTTTTGTTTTGTTCGTATTAACAATATACCTTTGCCACTGTAATCCAAGATGGGATAGCCAGAGAATATGTCAACCATTGACGTCATGGAAAATTTTCTTTTTTTTATGGGTTATTTAGAGTAAGTTGAATTAATGTTGAAGTAACATAATTTATTCTTACCCGCCAAGAGGTCCGAGGCACAGTTTCACCTTGACTTTGTATTGTACTATAATACCTAAATTTTCTCGCTGCGTTGCGTCCGCAATTCTGGAAAACATTTATTTTTATATACATAAGGCCCGTACACATATTTCGTCACACAACATTATTCCTTACATATTACTTCCGAACTAAACGATTCAATCTCATCAATATATTTAGCATTAAAATTAAATTTTAATAAAATTTAATAATAAATATTCTACATATGGATATTTTTAACACCTAGCCTAACAAACATAGTTACAGTCATTTCGGAGGAGTTCCATAACAAACACTGTTACACGAGACTCTAATGTATTAGAGAAATTACGTAAATGTACAGCGGTACTAACAGCGTGCTAGAAGCGAGGTTGGTGTCCTCATGTTTGAGTTGACCGTCAAGCGCAAGTCCCCACTTGTCTTTATTGTTGGCGAGTAGGGGCGTCAGAGTGAAAACCTTGCTGAGCGTGAAACCTGGACCCACAGGACAGCCTTCCCTGCAAAATAAAGCATTTTAGATAAATAAATAGAAAATACTTTATTTGTACAGTAAAAAAGTCATAAACAATATATGTACACATGTATAATTACAATAAGACAGCCTTATTGCTGAAAGCAATTTATTCAATATTATATTATTTTTTAACTGAATTTGAACTCCAAATAATGGAATAAAGGCAAAGCCATTCATTGCCTTGCGTTTATGCCATTAACGTTGATTATCACACCGGCTTAGTTCCAATTGATGGTTCGATGGTTCGATTCTCCGCACGGTACAAATATTTGTTTTCATGAGTATGATTCCTTGTATCAGTTTGGATGTTTACTATGTAGGTATATCTTGAAGGTACATATTTACAAAACAAATATCCATTTATTTATATCAATAACTCAGGCTTACCCATAAGATAAGCTCTACTTAACTTGAGACTGATGGTGTTGTTTTAATTGTCCAAGGATGTTATTAATATTGATAAAATTATAGCTAATATATACATTTTGACTGAATATATTGACGAGGTTCGAGTTTAAATAGGACTTTCAGGGGGGGAGGGGATATGTACCACAATAGGTCGACGCCCATGCAGTCCCCTGTCGAAACTGTTAATAATAATAACAATAACCCAGGACAATTCATACAGCGCCATCTATTCCCATGCTACGCAGAGCTCGCGGTAATTTGTAGTAAATTAGTGCTCACCCTAATATGTATTTATGTATATATATATCTATTTGTCAAGTATCCATGACATAAGCTCTGCTTAGCTTGGAACTAGATGGCGCCGTGTTAGTTGTCCTGAGATATTATAACATTGTCTACTTCTGGCTAGCCTGTATATACCATTAGAGCAGGAGAGTACACAATTCCATACTTATCCATTAAAACCAGGTAAAGTAGGAAACATTATTTTCTCAATATCATGTTTAAAAGTTTTGATTTGGGTGCACAAGAGTTAGTTGCCAAATTTCTCATAACACACTTGAGGACCAGGCGATTAATGTAATTGTATCAATAAAAAAAACAAATGTAAATTGTACTAAAATGGCATTTATCAATTATGAAGTTCTATAAGATGATAATATCACTATCAAATAACACTCTGGAACTTCGAAAACTTATAGAACAAGTTAGTCATAATAAATTTCAAATCACACTGTAACTTTCCAATTGAAAATAACATAAATATACAGGATGTTTTAAATACTGAAACAAACGTTTAGTTGGGTTACGTACTCAATACACTATCATACAAGTGCCTATATATTTTTTTTCGGACTACTCTAATGCTGTTGGCAGATCTGCGAGTGCAGATGGCACTCCAAACCCGCGGAAGGACTTATGGAGCGGCTGAAGGCTAGCTCCTGCCTGACGGATACGACTTTAGTCTGAGGGCACCACTAGGGTTTCGAACCTCGGCTCAAGCCGTCGTAATTTCGATCCCCGTTTGAATTGGATGGGGGATCGATCGGAGTGGGGTGCCTTTATTGTAGATATATAAATGCACTTGTACGATGTAGTAGTATATATTTATAATTTTTTTTATTGCATTTTAGTGTTGCATATATAGGTACATTTTAATAAGTACATAATTATGGTTGGTAGTAATAAAATAATGTAAACTAATTTATAGTTTTTAGGCGAGGCCTTTGTTCAGCAGTGAAAGTCTTCCGGGGTGAAATGAAACTATTCACAGTAAATAATACTTCAATAAGGACATCTTTAAAACCAACTTTTCGTAATAGTAGAAACCCCTAATTGTTAAATTACTTGTATTAATCAAAATAAAAGTTTTGTTTCAGTATTTTAATCACTCATTAAATTACAATATCCTATTTCAATATCCATTATAAAATATATATATTGTATGCAAGTATTTGGATGCAAGCACACGCAAACATACTTACAGAGCTTCTACGTTTAAATTCTTACTGAACATCCGAAAAAAGGGCAATTTAAATAATCTCTTCACCTTCGACCTGTGTTCCCTGGATCAGAAACATTTTGTCAAACTTGCACTGCCTTCATGTCTGCGTGTGTCTATAATTATATCGGTATGAGAAGCAAATATATAATCTATTTTATATACTTGATATATTTAGTGGATATATACACTTTATATGCATAAATTTAAAACAATATAAGTAGTATTTATATTATGAATATTAATACGTCATTATTAATTTGCCAGATTTGTGCAATGATTAATTTCTGTAATGTATCAAAAACAGATTACATATATACACAATGAATAATTTTAAAATATACATATATACGAGTATAATATAATAAGTAATATATACTTTTATAAATTATACTATACATATTGTTCAATTAAGAATGATGGTTAAATGTCACGCATTGTGGATATTAAAAGTACATACTGGTTTATGTAGATCAGTCAGTAATTCAGTCTATATAGGTATGGGGTATATGCTAACAGTGGCCTTCAATTGCTATTATAGACATATGCATATAGATAATAATCATTCTGAGTATGAATAATATTACGAAGTTTTTTTATTCAACATTATTTTTTATAACATTCGAGATTCAGAATAGTGACTAAGAGATTCACTTAATGGTGTAACTCTAACTTAACTCAAAGCTGTAGATTCCAGCTTTTTCAGATTCCAGCAGCCATTTTTGTCATGGTGTAAAATTAGCTCGAAGATACAGATTCAATACTATTATAATTCTATTCGCTTTTCTAAATATTTTTTTTCACACATGTATTGTTGAAAAATTGAACTAGTCTATAACTCAGTGTGAATTTACTTAAATAGAAATGATGTACTAACTCGCTCTCTGCTTCGGCGACGGTGCACTTGTACTGCGCGGTGGAGAAGAGGCATATGTCGGCGAACTGCCGCACCGACACCTTGATGCGCTTCACCGACCGGTTGGAGTTGTTCGCGATGTGTACATTCACCGCTATATTTTCACCGTGATGATACAGCTCCTAATAGAAATTATAACACATTTTTGAACATTGGTAAGAAGCACATGGTTATATATTACGATATATAATAATAATAACCTGGGACAGTTTACACAGCTCATTTAGTCCCGAGCTAACCATATATTATGTTATGGGTACTCGACCACTGATATAAATAATAATAATAAATAAATACCCCTGGATAATTAACACATCGCCATCTAGCTCCACGGTAAGCAGAGCTTGTGTTATGGGTACTAGACAACTGATATAAATGCTTAGATTTTTGTAAATACATATAAATTATACATAGAAAACACCCATACCGATACAAACAATCATACTGATGAATATGAGTACAAATGTTTGCACTGTGCGAGTAATCGAACTCGCGTCCATCGGAAGTAAAGCAGTAAGCTAAATGCCTAGACCACCGACCGATATAAAAACTCAAATACATTTTTTTTAATACTTAATGTATTTTGAACCTTATTATATTATTTGAAGCATTAAGGTATATAGTATATCTATTGTTATTAAATAAAGAACACTTAGTGCGATTACTGTTGTGCAGTAATTTATTATAGTCACCTTATCAAGTGAGGCTTCTAGGTACAATTTGTTGGGACTCATCATAAACTCCTTGGACACTTCAACGGACGGCTGCTCGCCTTGTTTGCTCGGCGCATACATTATCTTCCTGATAGCTAATCGTACTGAATTCCTGTAAATTGACAAATTTATTATACGTTAGAGCGTTAAACAATATATGTAATATACTAATATTAAAAACAGGAAAACTTATATCAAGAAAATAGCATACATTTTTTGAGTTCGAATGTACATACTGAAAATAATATATATCTTCCGTAATATATTTCTTTAAAAATATCCCACATACACAAACGACTTCAGTATTTATGAGTCATAAAGGCTTATTCACATGAAAGTATCGTCAACTAAAGACAACTACTTCCGATCAAAATACTTAGATAATGAATTGAATTTTTAAAATTCCTAGTAAATAAATCAGTTCATCTATTCTACGTGTACAGTTTTATTCTATTTCGCAAAGTATCAAATAAATAGTTCCGTTTGTGAACTACCGGTCGTGTGACTCCGCCCTAAGTTAAGCTCTTAACAGTATTGGAAAGTCATAAAACGCAGCATAAATACTTTTACTGCTATTTACAAATGCACAAGTAATGTCTACGAAGTAGATCGTCGGCAAATTTATATATCTAAAGTAATGGATGTTCAAAGTTTATAGTTAAAAATATTTGGCAAACAGAATAATATATCTCTAAATTAATTTTCTAAAGAACATTTAGTTATTTGAATGTTCTAATCTAATAAGTTGAATATATTGAACTATTTGCAATACGGACGGCACGGCGATTGAACTTGCAACCATTGAAAAGTATAAGTACATGCAATAGAGTACACCTATACCTACAGAATACAGTATACCTATGTGTATAACTATTATTTATAATTGCATCTGAAATTAAATACAATGGACATAATTTATAGAGTAAAAAGGTACAAACGGAGATCTTATCGCTTAAGCAATCTTTTCCAGACAACCTTTGGGTAGTAAAAAGACAGAAAGTGATTATATCAAATACATACACATATTAAAAATATATGTATAATACACAAATAAATTACATACAATAATACTATAATAAAAAACCTATAACTACAAAGTATAAAATGTACTTCTAATACTGCGTTTCAATCTAATGGCTTTCATAAAATAAGACTTACTTATTTATACTTATATTATGTCTTGCGACATACATTATATATAAGTCAGGTAGAAAAGATGGCGTAACAGACAGTAAATCACCTCTTGTGCGGCTTATCATCTTGCGAGTCTGCGACGAAAGCTTTCAACTCGTAGTCGACGCCGCATGGTTTGCCAGTATCCCCGGGCGCAGGCTGCAGCGTTACCGAGGCGGGGCAGTGCGGAGGCAACTCGAAGTAGAACGGGTGCGCGTTGGGGCCCAGCTTGCGTACCAGCCGCTCTTGTAATCGCGTCAGCGGCCTCCGCACGGGCCCCGCCCCCCCGCCGACCCCCACAGCGGGCCCCGGGCCGGCCCCCACCGCGGGCACCGCGCCAGCGCCCACAATCACACCCGCACCGGCGGCGCCCGCTGCCGTCACCGGGTAGATCTGCCGCCCGTATACATATATTACTACTTACTTGGATTATAATAACCTAACTTTTTTACGTAAATGGAATAGCAATCAAGTTAATAGCCTATCTGAATCAAAACAGCATTATATACATGCTAGAACAGGAACACTTGGCACAGGATAGAGATGCCTGGAGAGATTTGGTTAGGAGAAGCATTCCTGGGGGTCACTACCCTCAGGCTTAAGAAATCGACAAAGAAGAAGAAGTAGAGGAACATGCGTTCTCATTTTAATATGAAAATATTCATCTAAACGCTTTCATCCGCATTTGCGACAAAGGATAGCCTATATTCAGATGGAGTTTGATTAGACAAAGTCTTTAAAAGATTTCACAAAATTTTGCTATATTAAACAAGCTTTCGGTCAGCTGATGGTAAATAGTAACCGTCGCTATACACATAAACAGCACCTTTGACTGTTATGGCGCCTGCAAACGAAACTTCTTTTGTAAGCAATTTGGCGGCTGAAATAAGTGACAATGAAATGAAGTACTCGCGCAGACAACTCTTTAACAAAGTCTCCCTTTGTCTGACTTCTGAAATATACGAAGTAGATCGCTTCTTGTTGTTACCTGTTCAGCGGCCAGGTATAGATCCTTGCGGAACGTGAGCCCCAAAACGTCCAGGTCCTCGCGTCCGTAACGAAACGCAGCCAGTACGTGTCCGAATACCTTCCGGTCCTTCACGTACTCCGAATCGATTAGTACCACTCCATCTGGAAGCATTTGATAGTCACTTGTTAAATTGAGCATTATCGTGATGTACGTTTTATTAGAGTAGTATTCGCCTAGTGGGCGAAACTCGACCATAATTAATTTAAAATTCAGTAAGACTATAGACAAATAATATTAAAGACAATATTATTCTATTCTTAATTTGATCACAGAATTTAAAAATAAACAAAAGAGTTTTTTTTCGGACTACTTTAATGCTGTTGACCGCAGCTGGCCTTTACAGCTTCACCGGACGTTAGGGGGCGAGTGCAGATGGCACTTTTCGTAAAAAGGGGTACAATAAAGGAGTTTTTGTTTCATATACTAATGTATAGATGTAAAAAACTTTCAATGTGAAACATCTAATGCAGCTGGTTGGCTCCTTGTGTTACCGTGACTGTTATAATATGTGAATATCAAAAACCAGAAATCAAGCCTAGATTTTCCTATTCTGAATATATATATTCTGAATGCCTACACCGCGTTACCACGCTATATGAAAGTAATACTTTATCCCTACTCTCCGCATTTTATCTGCAAAATAATATCGAAACTTAAATACTGCCAGACGTTCCGCATCGAGTCATGTTTTTTAATCAAAACATATATATCAAATGAATTTATAAAGATCAATTTATTACTAACGAATTTATATATATATATAGTAATAGTCACGACTGTAAACTCAGTTGGGGTTGTCAGAGCTATTGTTAACTATAGACATGTTGGTGACAGTCAAAATAAACATCTAAAAAGATACATACCTATAGGATCTACATGTGTGATGTGGTCTACGAAATCTCTTTTACCTAAATACACTGTTATCTGAAAAGAACATAATTTTATTATTAATAAACAAAACCCAATGAAATAATAATAATGGAAACCCTGGACAATTTAGACAGCGTCATCTAGTCCTACGGTAAACAGAGTTTGTGTTATGCGTACTAAACTGATCAAAATGCATTTTATGTAAATACATAGGTACATAATATAGATTAGAAAACACCCAGAGAGATATAAACAATCACACTCAGGAATAGAAATATTTGCACCGTGTGAGAAATCGAACCCACGATCATCGGGAGTAATCGGTGTGCTAAACTGCTAGACCATCGCAACCGTCAAGTTAATATTAAACTTGATGATGTAATACATGTGTTAGGATAGTAACCGACAGCATTAGCTTGTAATATAAGTACTCTGCGAGAGAGGGCCAAATGCGATCCTTCTAGAAACTTTCGTGTTAAGTGCCACAGTGGCTCGCTATTATACTCCTATATCACTGACAAAAAAAAAATACAGCCTCTTCTTTTCCGTAAACTCTGGCAACACACCCTACCCTTGAACTATAAACTAATATACGCTGACCAAGTGGCTTAATGTATTAAGCAATATTTTGGTTGATTTCATTTCAACTAATCTCCCTAATTGCATTGGCTGTATGTTCTTTGGCCTCTAAGTTAGGTTTTAGAACATTCTGGATACAAAAAAAGAGCGAATCTCTAAGATGATGCATTAACGATATAAGGCGATCCCCACTTGGATGGAGCGATGACGTCCAATGTATCATATATGTTGTAACTGGCTAATCAGATATGTATTTTATATTCTAAATTTGTATCTGAATTTATAGTTCTTTTATATTACAATCTTGTTTTTGATACTTCAATTTTCTTTTCCTTCGTGTTCAATTGTCAGTTGTCTATATTAATATATATTTTTCTCCGTTTATCTAGTCTTTTTTCTTATTACATGAATAAACTACAATAATATAGAGTATAAAGGTATCTATGAGCCAGATTCCCTTATGGTAGACTATAGCTAAGGACATAACCAGTGGGTGTGGTTATGACACAACTTCCATAGTTTTAAACTATTCATATTCAATGTATATTATATTATTCATAATTACAGTAACTGACTGAGTCATAGGACCTAACATAATCAGCTACAAAAACCATGACTACCACTTCTATAAATATTAACAAAAACATTCTCCATTAATATTTAATCAAATTATGACAGAGCGGACAATTTAATTACGCATCATTATAATTATATACACTTATTATAATTGTAAACTGCCAACAAATAAACCAGGAAACGATATTTGTTTCATGTTACATTATTGCTTACATTTTTTATTTTAATTTCGATTTCATTCCAATTTAATTATAAAAAAAATAATTAATCATAATTGAAAACAAATTATATACATTATAATATCAGTTAGTTCATTAAATGAGCATGAATTACTATACAATTCAAGAGTACGTAAAGGCGTAAAAGAGTACATTCCAATGTTGGTCGATTACAATCGTTATTCACCCTTTCGCACTTTTTAGTTGTCTCTATCTACGTTATAAAAAATCTTGTACGTAGATAGATAAAGTACATACCTTGCCATTTGGCGAACTTTTCTTGAACACCCGTGTGGCCTGCCTCTGTTTATTGTTAAGTTCATCCATCCTGGGATCCTCTGCCTTGCTGGCGTCCATGCTGCCGCCGCACCCTCCGCAACACTGCAAACAGAAGACCAGTTTGTTTTTTAGAATTTGTAAACACTTGTTAAATTGTTAAATCGATTGAACAAACAGTAACAATTTTTGCTATGATTACCTTTATTAGTTATACATTATTAAGTTTTGATATTATATTTGTTAGTTTCATTTTTATAAAATAGGAATGGCAAACAAACTAACGGCCCACATAACAGTAACCATTGCCAACCTAATTGAAAAGCACTATGAATATCACGTTATCATGTGATACCCTTGATGCCACTCATGCGTTGATAATTCAGAGGACTAAGATGGCATGCTTCTTCTCCATATTTTCACTGTCTAAACAAACCCTACAACCGAAATAGAGCTTACAAAACAAGCTCCTTTAGGCAACCGAAATAAGTGAAACTGAGGTACCCACGCAAACAATTTTTTAAAGTCAGATTATTTCTACATTACTTTAATTTAATTATAAGAATTACATGTTACTGTGAGCATTATGTGTTATGGTATATGTTGTTTTAAATCATATTCTATTCTATTGTCTTTGTTAATATAGCAAGGAACAGGACATCGACTACATCAGGATCGAAAGCACTGATTTTCACTAACATGCTGTCCACCTTCATGGAAACATAGGCCCAAGGTGGTGTATCAACGTTATCTTTAAGAACTACCTGGCACACTACACTACCTAAACAATGATCTATAAAAACAGCAAAATGAAGCGTACCCAATTACAGATACTAATAAGTGATCATATAGAAAGTTTTCAAAGTCTATTTTATATATAATATAAGCTTTTTTATTTATGACTAGTTGTACTCGCGATTTCGTCCGCGTGGAATTTAAGTTACTCCATATTACATCAGCTACCTGTCAAAAAAGTCCCGTCAAAAACGGTCCAGCACTTTCAAAGATTAGCCGGAACAAACAGACAGACAAAAATAGTAAAAAATGTTATTTTGGTATATATACCGTATATATATTCAACTGCATGTAGTAAAAAACGGTTATTTCAATATTACAAACTTAGATACTCCAATTTTATTTATATGTATAGATGTATATATATACTGCAATGGTGCACTCGTGCACAGTCAGCACAGTAACAATTTACGCTGTCACCCGTGAAAGATGATAAGATGAACATGTGGTCAGGTCAATTAGCCCCTCGTGGCAAATTCGCCAGTATTTTATCACAAAGGTTCCCAGAGGAATCACTGAGGTTCACAGGAGGTCAACCTGACATGGTACATTGCAATGGAATAGTTAGTTCATATTAATAACAATTCCTATATGTATGTTAAAAATGTAAGTATGCAATTTGTTGTCAGGCAGGCCATAGGCCTGTACGTTATTTTGTCACCTACGTAATATATAAACATTGGATATACTCACGTCGACCCTCGTGCGGCTCCACGGTGCGCGCTACCGTATAATCTAATCAGGCGCAGCCACACCGCCCTGCAACAAATATATATATATATATTTTTCATACTGTTGGGAGAACCTTTATATAAACTATTATATACAATACTAAGGTATTTGATTATTAGCTCTGAAGTGTCATTAAAAATCACACATAATTTATATTATCAGAGAATTTAGAGTATGTAGGAGTACAGAATGTAAATATTTTTTAAATTATGCATAAAAACACATTAAATTAATAAAATAAAACATTGCACACACTACCATGTACTTGACACACACACGAATATATATTATTTTATTTATTGTTAAAGTCTCTGATTAAAATGTGAAACGATTAATATCATTGTCTATAGTCTTATTGAAACAATTATTTAAATTTAGTCAAATTGCAACCACTGAGCGACACCTTTATACTTATACAAAACTAACAAAATTATGAGGATACGAGCAGAGCCGGGGCGGATTACTAGTAGATAATAAATTGCAAGAGAGATTGCTACTAGAGCTTGATCCATACACACCAGTACTGACTCATTGTAGAGGACAAACTAATATAACTGAGTAGTTTCTATTATTGAACCACATGTACCTGTTAAGCCTGGTAGTGTTACAATAATAAGTAAACACCTCGTTTAGTTTGAATTTATTTAACAGATTGTCATTACATTTGTATTCTAAGTTATATATTAATAAAGTAGACATATAATGAAATTCTAAATAAGTTATTATCCATATTAAACATAAAACTTACTAATATTACAAACGCGAAAGTTTGTGGGTATGAGCGGATAGATAGATGTTTGTTACTTTTGCATACAAAAACTACAGAACGAACTAAGATTTGACGGCCTCGGTGATCTAGCGGTTTAGCACACCGCTTTACTTATGATGGATGGATGCTCTCCCAGATTTGTATTCCAATAAGCACAATGTAAATCAGTCCTGCTGTATTTCTTATATTGTTTATAGTACTTACCTACCAAAAAACATTACAGTTAGCAATGGCTATTTTCTCACAATCACGCATTTTGTCGAATCGAGTGAACCTTGGTCATGAAAATACGTACATTCTAGTGATATGTTATAGTGCGGAACTCTATTACAAATATCGGTTTTCCTTGCTCGTAATAGCGTCGCAGCCGGCGGTAACAAAGTAATCCTATATATGCCCTCGCTAGCGTCCAATATAATATAAATAGAAACGATACCAATAGCTGAAACCACATAATAATATATAGTTTTATAAAATAACAACTGTTAGTAACAAAAATGTCTTTTTTTTTTAGATAAAAGATAGTCTACGGCCTTTTTGATAAATGAAAGACACACGCATAAGAATTGAATTTATAGAGATCTATCAACTGTTTTTTTTCTTCGTGAATTGTAATGGAATGGTGCACTCACTTGCACTAAAAGTATGCGCCAAGTATGCACCAGTAGAATATAATAGAATGACTATGAAATCAAATTCGTTAGTCCATCGTGGCCAATACACTAGATATTGACCATGATGTTTTCCAGACCACAGACAGAACATGGTACAATGCCAGCAACACGGCGACGACCCCAATGCTACCAATTCCCTTCCCCTCGTTCTTGTATTACATCGTTAATATTATACACACCGGTAGATGATGATAGGATGAATGATCAAGTCAATGCACTGGGCACGTTGAAGTGCATTAGTATTCAAGGATACTCACGTGGAGGTGGACCTGTCATAATAATAATAACAACCTTGGCCAATTTACCCAATGCCATCTAGTCTAAGGGCCGTGTGTGAAAAACTTGCGAGTCGCGGCCATCGGAAGTAAAGCATGTACTAAGACCGATGGTACTGAGACCGAAATGTAGCATTACTAGCAGTGCGGCGAGTACTGTCCATTGCTAACAACCTGGGTTAAGAAGAGTGGGGTTAAATCCTTCCTGTTAAAATAGGATAGATTAAGATATTTAAACTTTGTACAAAGCATGGAAATAATACAGCAACTTCGCTATCGTGCAAACTTCTGTTTTATATGTGAACTTGAAAACATGAGGAATTATGTACCTATATTGTTGATGAGCTTTTAAGTTGTATTCTGAATCTGTATTATACAAAAACATGAGTTTAGTTGCCTGACATATAAAGATATATAAAATAAATAAAATTACAAATACAACATGCCAGTAGCAATATTTGTTGTGAATTTGACACGCAATGATTAATAAGGCCCGTCCGTCCGTACGTATTATCTGTCGAGCGGTGACAGGGGTACCGGATGATCGGATTTCCGACCGTGTCAGTGAGTAGGGCCACTATCTAATCAGACCAACTATGGACATCTCATTTTAATCGTCACCGCTTTGTTTTTCAACTATCGGCCCAAAAATAGGGACGATCCAAAAATATAAAAGATCTTCGATATATTAAAACATGAAATTTGAACTATTACACTATAACAATCTGACCTGTTATTAGGAGATAATATATGTATTATGTATGAATGATGATGCGGTCAAAGCTGTTAGAAGCAAGCATATATAGTGCCTATTTTCTCTAGAATTGAAAGACCCAATGTTGTAAGAGACACGAACCTAACATAGTCACGTAACTGTAAGGTTTAATTTGTTTTGTTAGTTTCTAACAACTATGTACGCGAATTTAATGAGTCTACTATGTTTTCATCTTTGACGAAAATTGTTGCGACTTCATCCGGAACTATAGAGTACGGCGCGTTAGTTACGTCTCGACTCGCACTGGGTTTACTATTGTAAAATTCCAAAATATGTGACACACTAGGGCGGGGCAGTCTCACAAATATTAGCAGCTGTGACAAGGACGGGGCAGAGGTCGAAAATCATGAATTTCGTGAAAAGTAAGTTCTGAATGGTCTTATAGATATTAGATATATTTTTTTAACTGTGGGAATGCCAAACAAGCTGCCCTCCCACCACAATGCAAGTGGTACTGTTGCTTATAAATAAAATGTACATTAATGAACAACCTCATATCGTCATGACACCCGTGGCACCACTCATGCGTTGCCAATGCAGAGGACTAAGACGTTACGTCGAATTCAGAAACTTCACTATCTCCCTCCTCAGCCGAAACACATCATACATAGCAAGAAACAGGACGACTGAAATAAGTGTGACAGGACTGAAATAGAGAGTTGTAATATTGGAATGATATTTATTTCCTGGAAAATCCTCGACAAGAAGATTCGAAGAATGAAAGTCTTAACTCATATGCTCTTGGGAATGTCTAGTGTTGTTTTCACCACAAGTCGACAATTGACAATGCTTTTGATTACCTCAGGTATAATTACAGCGGTGATGGTAGGTTATATACTTTTAACTATTATTTATTTTATAGTAAAACCCCTGTTACATACACACATGTCGTGCACATCCCTATTGAAAAGTTTTGAAGAGCAGAACATACACGCGCCGAAGAATGAACGAGGCCGCAACCTTCCAATTTCAATTTAGTAGTTGGATAGTTTTAATTGGAATATTGTTAATTTCATATGAAATCAGTAAAACGCTGACAATGTTCTTGTGCTAACTGTGGTTTGCGTTACGAATTCTGAGACACCGTCGTTCTAACATTGAACGGTGTCACATATATTTTAGTTATAGTTAGTATAATAACTAAGAATGTAGGATTTTTTATACTATATATGCCCACTGGATGAAGCGACTACCCTAATTACCCTGTACCTACCTGATGTATAACAATCGTTCATCCAACCTCTATCTCCAATCTAACTTTGTGGTCATAATAAACTATATAAGTATACTTGTTGTTACGCCTCTTTATTTTTCCATTTATATCTCGTTTCCTCAGATCGTGCGTTACCTCGGCCCCACCTTGATTGGAACCTCCGAAGTTCCGCCAAATCCCATCTTATCCGGTGGCCGATATATTGTTTTATATTTATATTACACTCTCATTCTTACGTCAACTAGGATGTTACGTCCATTTATTGTACATGTATTTAAAGACAAATAAAATCAGTTTTGAAATTATTTATAGGCGTAACTGTTGTGGAAGTAAGATTGATTATAGTTTTCAAAATCCTGATTTTAGTTGTAATATATTTAATAAGGAACACATGAAGGCAGATACAATATAGAATCATTGAAATTTGTTAATACTAATAATAATAAAATAAAAATATAAAATGCTGATTCAATAGAGTTCTTTTATGTTACAGATAAAAAAAAATCAATTGAAACATCTAAGAGATTGGATAAGAAAGGTTTACTAAAATTGTATATACAAAACATTAAACCACTTATATATATCATAAAATATAATATAAATCCTAATATGTATATGATAAAAGGACATAATAATGTCACACGCAGTTGAGATCAGTTTCACCCATTTATTTACTACAATTACACTGTGTATGGTATTGTACTATGTAAATAAACAGAGTTAGTCGTAAAGAATCACTAATAAGTAGTGAATAACAGTGACAGTATTTATAAAACTGATACAATTCCCAAAACACTTTCCTTTGAAAATTGAAAATGATGTTGAACCTTCATGCATACTCAGCTCTCCCGCTGATTAATTTAAAATAGTATTTGTAAAATTCAGAATTAATTTTCAATATTCCACTTTATCTATTGGTGAAAATAGTTTACTTTAAATAATGGTAAAACTATTTATTCGACCTGGTTTTCAGGTTAACCTTTTTTTTATATATTTGAAACGGTGTATAAGCTGACGGGCCACCTGATAGAAAGAAGTAACCGTCGCTTATAAACATGTAAAGCATGGAAACCAATCAAGAGGATCCAATTGCCAATCCAAAGGAATAAGATGTCATGCCCCTTGGCCTGTAATTTCACTGCCCTACAACCCGAAACAGTTTATAAAGTAACCTGCTTGGCGGCTGAAATAGACTGAGATACACTCAACCGACTTTTTATAGGCTACCTCAGAAATCTACCAATTTCCTAAAGGGCTGAACATGCAATAGGTAATATGTAAGGGAAAATAGTAACATGTATAGATGTAGTGTACCACACAA